CTCGGGAAGGTATGTAGGTCTGAGGTCAGTTATTGCTTAGTCTGATGAAGTGATAATCAATAATCCAGTCGAGGTATAGAGAGGGGTTGGAAGAACCTCGCAGTTAATAGAGAGTAGAAGTGCACTAAGTCAACTAGCTTCAACATAATAGCAATTCATGAACATTTATTGTAGATATTTCAAGCTACAAGATATAATAAATCTTCTTTGATACAATAATAGATCTATAAAATATTTATGAAATAAATACATTTTGCAAGCATTTATGTATAATGATACATAGTATACACACTTTTAAAAACTATTTCAAATCATTTTTTTTGTTACAACAATTAAAGCGCAATCAAAAGCCATCAATTTTGGTTTACGGAAAAACTGAATTTGTTTTCTTAGGACCAGCATTGACCTACTGAATTTAAATGGTTATTAAAGCAAAATTTTAAAAATCAAAATAAATTCATCTGATGGCGCTTTTATTAACAACTTAACAATTTCACATTCGAGCAACCTCCAATTGTGTAGTCATTACATTTATGCCATATATTATATTTTTTTTTTGCTACGTATGTTGTTGTTACCATTGACTAAATTATGCAACAATGTGACGTACAGCAAAAAACAAAAAAAAAGATAGAAAAAAAATTGCTTGCATTTTGCAAAATACCATTTCCATTAGCCACAATTAATGACATGCAACACCGTGTGTACAGTGTACACCTTATGCGACCGATACAATTAATTTTTTTCTCATTTGTTTTCAATATCAAAATGTATCTAACTAACGCAAATAAGATACGAAACCAACAACAACAACATCAACAACAACAACAAAATGCTAAAGGCAATGTTGTTGGCAATAAATTTAAAAATAACAATTACCACGGCCGTCCACAGTCGAATCAAAGCAGTCCAAGTGAATTGTGATAACTGGAAGAAATGAAAAGCACATTAAGACTAATTATATGTATCTATGCGTGTGTGTGATAATATATAATTCATATATGTAAATAAGTTTTATGTTTTCACATATTTCATATACACATAATATTCATAATATTCATAATATTTAGATACTAAGAAACTGCACTGTCAGCGCGTATGCATAAAAATGTGTTTGAAGAGGGCATAAATCATATTGCCTGTTTCAAATAGAAGTTAATGCAAATTACAAATAAATAAAAAGTAGTTATTTCCATGGGTGTTTTTAAATATTCTACTTTTAACAGTATGCAGATAATATAATATAATATAATACAAAGTAATTTAGCAAGTAGTAGTCACTCATTTCTCAGTCACTTCTGCAAACGTTTCGATTAAACAAACTTTGTTGCATTGAAATTTTTAACATTTTATGAGAATAATTTATGGCTAATCTTAAACTAAATTGAAGCACATAAATTACTTTTATAAACTAAAATAACTAATACGAGTATATGTTATGTAGCATTTTGATAAATAAATCACATTGGGCGTAGTTGTAGTCTTGTTGAATTATAATTCCGTTTCGCTGCTTTGCCTAGTTTATCAATTTATGATCGATTAAATTGAAATTAAATTAACGTTTCGTTTATTAACTATTATTAGAACAATTACACTTTTATTAAGTAATTACAAGTAATTTAGAAAACGATTTGAATTAACGAGCGTTTACTGTGTAATTCAGAGCACACAAATGTGATCGATATACTTGTCACTTCATATATAAAAATTCATTAATGTAATTACAATATTAATATAATAAAGAGGTTTTTAGAACAGTAGTAAACTACAACAACACAAATTTCATTTTATATTATTTTAATTAATTGAATTTTTGGCTGATCTTGGAAATAATTCTTGTATTTAATTATTATTAAAAATTTTTTTGAGACTGCAAGTACCAGGAGTCGAACTCGTGTTCTGCCAAATTTGAAACTCAGAGTCAACGCACCTTAATCAACTGACACATTTTTCTGGAGTTTTGTTACTTTGCTGTGAAAGTTTTATTAACAAATAATTTTTATTATATTGATATAAAAACAATTTTTTAAATAAGTTTTGCAAATAAAATAGACTTATAAAGTCTGAATAATATGCTACTACAAATTAAACTTTAACTTGTACCAGCTCAAAATGTTACGTATACGTCATGGGTTCCTTAATGCCGTCGTCGATTTGTATTTGTCAATTAAATAAAATTTTATAACATATTTTAGTCGTCGAAATGTTTATGGAAATAATTAAGATTTATTTTTTTGACTGTTTGCTACCAATTATTATGAATCATTACTAGCCAAACAAGATCTGTGAAGAAATAGTGAAGAAAAATTTGATTTTATAACAAACATAATATAAATTTTAATTTAAATAAATTTAATCGCTTTCAATTTTATGCTTTGCTTGTCGTAATATTTAAAAAGAAAATACTTCCTTGATATGCGAATATGTACCATAAATTTTCATCAAATTATAAAGTATACGTAGGAGATTTGAATAATTCAAATAAAAAAGATTGATTTATCCAAGTCAATGAATTATTTTAATGTTTCTTATATGTAAAGATGAAGATTGCACGATTGGACGATTGCACGATTGTCTAACTAGAAAGATCAAAAACATAAAATAAAGAAGTGTTCAGCCTATTATGTGATGTCCATAATAGGTGTTAGTCAAAAACATAGACATTTTTTAGTATAAGAAAAGATAGTGAATTTCATTAATAATCAAAATGTGAGAAAAATCAATTGGTAAAAATACACCGTTAAAATGTGATTTAATTAGTTATAAGTAAAGTTCATTAAGAATTGTCATTAGTTTTTATAACTAATAACTTCTCATCTAAAAATATTTACAAATGCATTTCAAAGTTAAGCAACTTAACTAAATCGATCAATCTTAATAATAAGTAAGTCATTTCGTTGCTCTACTCGCAATACATATTTGTGCAGTTTTGTCAATCAAGTTTATCAATGAAAACGTTGACAAACAGACAACTTAACAAACTTGGATTTGAACTCGAAATCAATTCAATTTATTTAAGCACATCTCGTCAAATTGAAATAAAAATTAATTAATCGCCAAATATCAAAAGTACTATATGCCATATTGGTCTCTTTAGTCTTATTTATATCATTAGTCGATATCATAAAAGGTATCACATATTCCTATTTTTCATTTAAGTAATTTTTCGTTTGATTTCCAATATAGAAATGCTAGTCATTTCACCAATTATTCTGAAACAATATAGTATTATACAATACTAATAACAATACTAGTAAAAAATACTAGTAAGAATACAAGTAACAATACTAGTAACAATACTAGTAACATATACTAATAACAATACTAGTAAAAAATACTAGTAACAACACTAGTAAAAATACTAATAACAATACTGGTAACGATACTAGTGAAAAATACTAGTAACAATACTAGTAACAATACTAGTAACAATAATAGTAACAATACTAGTAACAATACTAGTAACAATACTAGTAACAATACTAGTAACGATACTAGTACACTACTAGTAACGATACTAGTAACGATACTAGCAACAATATTAGTAACAATACTAGCACCAATACTATTAGCAATTGCAGTTTTCTTTGGAAATTTTTGTCTAGATCTGCTCATGAAGTAGATCAATTTAACTTTACTTAAAAGAGTCGAAATGTTAAATTAGGGTATATAATGAATTCCTCAATGGTTGGTTTGAAAACAGCAGTAAATTTCTTATTTCACATTGTGAATTTTACAAGACAAAATCTGTCTAATATGAATGTTGGACAGCAAGTCTACTACAATACATATACACACCAATTTTAGGGAATTATGCAAAAAATGGACATATAAGCAACCGATTACTCATTAATGTGAACTGATATTGCCATAATGATATCATTTACCTGTCAGCGAGTGCTGCAGAAACTGCAGGTACCCCAGATTTGGAATAGTACATTTTTTTGTTTAGTTGTTTTTCTCTGTCTTTTTTTCTTCCTATTATTGGTCATACATATTCAGATGGGTTAAGATTTGAGCTGTTTTTAGACCAATTTAACCGTAAGTCTTTGTGGGTATAGACCTGCAAGAAGTTGAATTATTTGAAATAGAAAACCTGTATGTTTGTTTACCTGGCTCACTGCCAAACTTAAACTTAAAACCTTAATAAGCAAATACCTCAGGAGGATTTTAAAAATTTGGTGGTTCCGTACTTTTAAAAATTCCGAACTCTGATCAATGTGCCGCCAACTTCCTATCGCGAATGAAATCAAAAACCGTAAATGACAATGGATCGGGCACACATTGAAGAAGTTACCAAATGAAGCGTTAATGTGGAATCCTCAAAGAAGCAGAAGACTTGGTAGGCTCAAGCATACATGAAAGCGCACACTAAAGAAAGAAACCCAAGCAAACGACCTTTGGAGAAATTAAAACCCTGGCAAGAAATCGTGACAGTTGGAAAAGGTTAGTTATGGCCCAATGTTTCCCTATGAACGGAATGGAATGAAGAAGAAGATGTGATGAACATAAATTTCTGCAATGACCACATTAGTTACAACTTCCATGATTGTAATGATTTTTTGAGGACATAAAATGCAGGAAAAAGTCTCTATGGAAGAAACAAACATAGAAGAATCCACTTTTATATATGAATATATAGATAAGGTTGCAATCAGAAATTTCAATAAAATGTAATAGCAGAGTTAATCTCAAAGTAAAATCTTATTTCTTATTTAAAAAATCAATGACTCAAGCTATAAGAATTAAGTCTCATTCTTTTTATTGGCAAAAACAGCACAAAATTCTATTCAATATATTTTTAAAGACTTTTACTTTTCATTAAGACTACAATCCATTTTTTTTTTGTTTTTGCATAATTTGTTCAGAAAATTATTTATTTTTACAATTTTCAGATATTTTGTTTTGTTCACTGCACAATTACTCATAAATCATAATTTTAAACTATAAAATTATACAATGAAAGCTTCAATCTAGTTTCAATTCGTATTCAATTTCAGTTCAGAAATAATTATTTGACGAGGCTTTCAACGATGTTGTCGGCGCAGATCGTTCCACTGTTGCTCTTGGTCGTTATAAGTTTCTGTAATTTCTGTAACGGTGTGCCTGAACATGACCTTCAGACTGCTAAGCAATGGAATTTAATAAACTGGAACTTCCTACCGCATGCCCCCGTGAACGATGTAAATTTTTATAACCCAAGCAACGTTGTGGCTACGGGCATTGCAATTTCGCACGATCGCATATTTTTAGCAACTCCAAAATTATTCAGCGGAGTACCGGCTACTGTTAGTTTTATGATGAAGACAGACTTTGAGGAATCTCCACTACTGCAGGTTTGTATTGCAGATTGTTTTTATAATTTTTTACTTTTAATTTTATTTTTTTGTTTTGTTTTTAGCCATATCCGGACTGGTCTTATTCGATCTCTGGCCGCACAGACTTTAATTGCAGCGATTTAATTTTGATTTCCGTTTATCGCATGCGTATCGATTCTTGCAATCGTTTATGGGTACTTGACGCTGGTGTTTCACGTTCTTTGGAAGATTTTGAAGTTACGTGTCCGCCTAAAATTCTAATTTTTGATTTGAATACTAATCAAGTACTACGACGTGTGGACTTTCCCAACGAAATATTGCGAGGTGAATCATTGTTTACGAATCTGGTGATTGATGAAACTACATCGAGAGGAGCCAATTGTGATGATGTTTTTGTATACATTTCAGATACAGTTGAGCCAGGTGAGTAGAATAAATTATGTCAAAATGTGTTGTTAAGTTGATTTAGTTTATACTCATTGTATAACCTTAAATAGCATAAAAAATGTATACTCAAAAATGCTCAAACTATTCTGTTTGCAGTGGAAGTTAACATTAAGTTTTTCCAATCGCAACTATGGAAAAATTAATTTAATTTAAAAAATTAAAATATAATGAAATAAAATAAAATAAATTATTATACCATATACAAAATTGTGTAAGCAATATAATTATATGTCTTGATTTATCTTTTTGTAGCGCTTATTGTATACGATAGCGACAGAGATGTGACTTGGCGGCTTACGCATCCAGCCATGTTTCCTGATCCAGATTTTGCTCAATCTGAAATTTTAAACGATCGTTTTATTTTAATGGATGGTGTAGTGGGTTTAACGTTTGACAAAAAAACAGGCCTTGTTTATTTCCAACCATTGGCAACAGATCGGTAAAACATAAATACAATATATTTAAAACATAGCAATGAAATTATAATTCTTCTAAAACTAAATTTCAGTGTATTTTCCATATCCAAAGAGGTCTTACGCGCTGGTCCTATACCGCGTAACCAAGTATTACAAGTCAAATTGGTGGGTAAGAAGTCTTCACAAGGCATTGGTATGGCAATATCACCAATAGACGACAGCCTCATTTTCAGTCCAATAACGGAAACTGCTATTGCTACCTGGAATCCCACAACTAACACACACTCAATACTAGCTTTCGATCAGGATCGTTTACAGTTTGTTGCTGATATTAGTACAACGTCGTCCGAATCAAATGTTATATATGCTGTATCTTCTAAGTTCCAACGTTATTTCTTAAAGAACATAAACCCAAACGAAGCGAATTGCAGAATTTTGCGTATCGACCTCACTCCAAATACGCATAGCACCTCTTATGCATATAAACCACGTCTGTCTTCAGTTTCTGCACTAAGTAGATTTTATCATATTAATTCTGTTGATAAGTTTAAATCAGACTATTTAGATAGTCCTTTCAAAGTAGCATCGAGTTCACCATTTGACTTCGAACCAGTGGGCTTACTACAATATTCCTCTAGAAATCCTTTTACTGCTCTTAATCAAGGTGAAGCGTTCCCACCCACCAGAGCGGCTAGAAGCAATTCAGAAATCTCATTTTTGGATAATTTAAATAGTTTGCCAATGGTGGGTACTACAATTACTTCACAAACGTATCATCCCGGGCATGCGCTGAGCGAAGAGCGGATACGTAAAAGACCTGTACGCTCGTAAATTAATGAAATGAAAAACACTAAATAAAATATATACAACGCATAAACCAATACTCATAATTGTAATTAATTAATTATTCCATTTTATTTTAATTAAATTAGAATTAAAAAAATTAATTATACGCAGTTCAATCGTTTTCTATGCGTTCATGTATATTCAGTTGAGACGTGGTAACAAAAAATTGATTACATGATAAACACATTTTTTCCATCAATAATAGAAATTCGTTGTACCAGGCTTCATATACTTCATATTTTCTATCGCTTTGGTGGGTCCTATTACGAAATAGTTTGCGTACCTATGAATCGTAATATACAAATATTCTATGAATTATTCAACCAATCACTTCGAAATTTTGTACAATTTTGCAGCGTTTCGCATCGTTTGCGTCAGAATTGAATTTTTTCAAATTTAAATTATTTAGAAACGTTTAGTTTTTATTAAATTTTTTCTACTTAGAATCTAAATTGTTAAATAATATCGTATTGTATAAATATTGATTTAAATATATATTAATTAAACCTAAACATATCATTTTTTTAGATGTTTTTTCAGCTTCGATGAGTTCAGATTTAAACAATAAATTGCAATAACGAATTGCAAAAGAGCAATAAATTATGAATGGAGGTTGTTTTATATAGTCGTATCCGATTCTAACAATGCAAACAAAGTTTTCTCACCTTAAAAAAATTTTTAAATAACTTAAGGTTAACACTTTACTTTTCTCAAAACCACTATTATTCTTAATTACACATTTTAGGATTTGGGAACCTTAGGGCCTGTCTTTTAATGCAATATCACATCAATATCACATATCAATGTTAGTTCGAGACTAGCGTGACTTTTGTATTTCATGCGCTCTTAGTTCAGTCTCTTAGTTAGGAGAATTTTTAGTGCCCACTAACAAGCACTAATAAGTTATTTAGTTGTACTTATTACAACTCAGCTAACATAAATGAAAAGTTATAGTTTTCAAATAAAATAAAGATATGTTTTTGTTTTTATTTTAATAATCATAATTTTAAATTGTTTTGCATTTTAATATCAAGACTTGAGTGCAATTTCAACCTTAAATACAAAAACAGGCCCTGAGGAAAATTATCTAAAGGAAAAAATTCTTCAACATGAGATGAACAACTTTGTGAAAATAAATGAAAATAAATCAAGAATTCTATATTATTAAAATAGCTCCAAATGCAATAATATTTCTTTATTTAATAAAGATTTTTTAACTACATGTACGAGTATAAGTTAACACCTGCGTCTTCCGAATCGGGTCCTGTGCTTAATTTCATTACCGCAGTAATCATGCGATATTATTCGAATGCATGATTGCTACCGAACGGGACATCATCTTGTTTGTCTGGAAAAGTCCCATTTGGCTTCGATAGCTCTCAACTTCACAAAACTGTGCTCGTTTACATCTACTTGGGCTATTAACCGAACCACACGTTCGAAATTTATTGTCTAAATTTAATAAAAACACGGGGAACATACTCCACGTTTACATTATTAAAGGTTTAATAAAATTAAAATTATTAACTAATTCATATTAAATATAAAATTTAATAATTAACTTATATTACAAATATATTATTAAAGGGTTATTGATTCACCACTGGTGATTTATGCTGAATTTATTGCTATTGGTTTAAAACGAGAATATATGTTAAACACAGTATCAGCTAAATTAGCTGCTTGCATTAACAAGCGATGTAGTTATGCGAACGGAAGACGCTCTAGCCTTAACTCAATAACGACATCCGAGAATCGAAGGACGAAAAAGGACCAGAGTCGTTTCGTGCTCTACTTCGGCTAATCCTTCGGCTAATATATACACTATCAAACACAAAAACTGCTTTGAGCTTCTTGCTTTCAGTTCAATCTACATCTAAAACGCCTTTTGACTCTAAATGTCTTAATTAAATGTCAACTCAGTTAAAAATTTCGCGCTTCTCTGCTAATGGTCGCAGGAAGATGAGGTTAAAAGGCGGTGTACATGAGAAACATATCCGAAACATCTTAAAAATCGCAGCATCATGTAAACAATTATTGAAGTCTTTCTAGATAAATCAGTTATACTGATTACTGAATAACTCCATTCATTACACTAATCTCGTTGAGAAATAATATTAATTAAACTCTAATAAAACGAAGTTACATAGGAAGTATAAGTCTAGGTACATATCGAAGTTATGCAGTATTCTCTCTTTCTCTATCGAGAACTAAGTAAATAAAATTGTAAAAAGTAGATAAAATTGATTTTTTAAAGTAGTTTTTAGAACAGCAGTGAATTACAAGAAGAAAAATTTAATTTTTTATTATTTTAATTAATTGAATTTTTGGTTGATCATACAGCTGTTTCGCATATTGCCAAATACCCACCATCAGTGGTCTTGGAAATATTTCTTGTATTTAATTATTTGTAAATAATTTTCTGAGAATGCAAATACCAGGAATAGAACTCGTGTCCTGCCAAATTTGAAGCTCAGAGTCAGCGCTCCTTAACCAATTGACCCAAAGCCGTACTTGACTTTTATGTTCACACATTATTCCGGAGTTTTGTTATTTTGCTATGAAAGAATAAAAGAACAAATTCACTTGCTGTGTTTATATTAGAACGAAATCATAGACCATAGATTCTTCATATATTCTTTCTTATGTATAGAACCTGATCTAGGAACGTAAAACTGAGTTTTTTTTAATAAATATCAACTTTATTAAAAAATTTACTAAAACTTATTTTAAGGATTAGAAAAACAATTACATTACTTGCCGGATATAACTTGCAAGTGAAAAATTTAAATGTTTAAGATATGAAAATATTGTTTGTGTAAATATTATATTTTAGGTACAGACTTATATACAATAAATCTTAAATTTATGTTTAGTGATTTAAGAGAACTAACGTGAACCCCAATTGATCGGATGGGTGGCATGGCACATACAACCCCTTGACTTTTAATAGATTTACGTTTATCACAATTAATCAATATTAATTGTTTCGTTACCACTTTATGTAAATACAGATTCAGTATCCAACCTGTCAGAGACAAATTGATTGATATCCTTTGAATGTAGAAGACATTTGAAATATTATAATTTATTGCACTAATAATAAGTGAGTCATTAGTTGTAGTATAATTTGTAATTAGTAGTTCAAGATTGTTAAAAATCAATTAAAATTATCACTGCTTGGTATAATGAGTGTTGTATAAATAAGGAATTTTCAAACAATAACTTCGAAATTTATTAGCATTTAAAAGAATTGTGTAAATCTAAATGATAGTCTTTTTATCACTGAATAGTAATTGCTTAAGTGTTAAAAATGAAACAATAAAAAAAGATTTCTATTAATATTTGTGCTTCTGAATATTTATATAATTTTAAAATATTTTCACGCCTTTCCACACTTAGTCAACTTTCGACTTTTTATCAATGACTGAACTAATCTGTTGCTGAATTTTAATATCCATTAATATGCCAAACTCAATAGAATAAACAAAACAAACAACAATTTTTATTTAATTTATGACTTATCATCGTTTGGGGTTTAAGCTTTATGCAAATCGGTGGAATATGTAAGTTAATTTCATTTATCAGCGGCTTTAAGCCAACAAACTAAATAAATAGCAACAGAACTAAGAACGACAGTAACGATATTTGCAGGCAGTCAGGCAGTCAGGCAGCAAACATCTTCGCATCTGTTCGCATCAGATACAATAGTGGAAATCCCATACTCATTCCTCTTCACGGCGATTTTTTACGAAATCATTCCGGCATAGTTTGTACTCGCGTCAACACCGAATTTCATACTAAAGCGGCGCTTACAGTGGTGACTTAAATCTTGAATCTCAAATCTATATAGTAGGTAAATAGTTGGTAAAATGAAAAAAAAACTTAATGAGAATAAAATAAATATTTATGTAATAACTAACAACCAACATTGTTATTATAGAGAGTGACAAAAAATTTATTTCAATTTATATAAATTAGCGCACAAATTTGAAAATATCTGAGCTGGACTTACGTTAGTCGAAATCACTTATATACATTTCATATATGAATTTATATACTCTATTGCTGATTGCTGATTACGTATTAAACCGTAAGACGTAAGCCGATTTAATCTTTGTATTAACAATAATAATTAGCATTAAAATTAATATCTAAAATCACCGCTTTACCGAACAAATAACAGGTTCACCAATAGAATATGAAGAAAGAGCGACATCATCTTCGATTATTTTAATAATAATAGCAGCAGAATAATAATAAATTTATAAAACTTTAATTCGTTTTACTCTGTGTACAGTGTACAGTGGCAACAAAAAATCCGGAAAAAAATTGCTTTAAATATTTCAAGCTTTTTAAAAACCAAAACAAAAGGATTTTGATAATTCTTAGTAAAAGTACTTTCGAGCTCAACTACGGGATTTCCGCGAAAGGTGCTTTGTTTAGAGACACATTTTCAAATTCAAGTGTTCATAATTACATGCAAGTATTTAACGAAACGTGACAAGATTTAATTGAAATCCGCAAATATTTTCCCAATTTAAATAAATTAAATGAAGTCACCTTCAGGTGAGATAAAAGCAAAAAGCCTTAAATAAGTATGGAACCTTCTGTGTAAACGCGTCCAGTTTATTTGCGAACAATTTCGGTCAAAACCTTGTGCTAAAAAAACAACTACTGCAAACATACAGTGTTTTTTGAATTGATAAAATCATATCCACAGATTATTTAAACAAAACTTAAGTAAATATTTAAGCTCATCTAAGTATGTACTCGTATACATACAGATGTGTGTATATATCCAGATATCTTAAAAATAATTCTTGTTTGAACATACATTAAGAGTGAATTTTAAGCAGTAAATTAGTATATTTCTGGTTTAAATAAAAACCACAAATGGACATTAATATCTACGAAAGTGAAATAAATTAGATATTCGGAACTGCTCTATAAAAAATATTAACTAAATAATAAAAAACACTTTTTTGTTTTAATATTTTTTACTGCAAATCTTCCTTCTATGGAGTGAGCATAGATTAAATTAGAAAACTGTAAAATTAACTATATATCTCTTCAATAATAACAATGTACTCAACTTTTTTCTCATTTATATTTCCATTTTTTTTTTTTGTAAAGTTATATTATATTATTTGCATATCACATCATCACATATCTCGTCGATACACATTAATCCGTCCATCATCTTTTATACCTAGTGTAATTTTTTAATTATATTTGTCTTATCTGATGTCTCTGCTACTTATTGTATATATTATAATTTATTTATTTTTATTGTATTCAAAACAAAAGCGTTTAATATTTACAAGTACTAATTACTCTCGGCTAAAGCAAATTATACCCGGCTTCAAGTCATATACTGGCATTAACAGCTTTTCATTAACAAAAGCATAAACATGAGAAAAATTATTTAAACTCTTATCTCTTAATCGTACTCTAAACTTTGTTTTAAAGCATAGAATTCTTTTGAATATCTCTTACCAGAACTGATTGTGTCTTCATTACTTCACTCAGACGAATTTTCAAGGTGTCTAGTATTCTATCGCCAGCGTTTTTCCATTTTTGTAATAAAATTTTTGTTGCCAAAAAAATTTCTCATCACTTATTATGTATCCTTAATCTATCTTTAAAATGTTTACAGAATCTTAACAGATATTTTTAAACAGATTAAACACATTTTTATTATAATTTTTTGTTTAATTACATTTTTAATATTTTTTTAAACACCACCTTAAATACTTTCCGCCACCTTTCTATTATAATTTTCCGTAAATGATTTTTCGCCAATTGGCTTGCTTGCTAATTGCTTTGAATAAATTAATTGTATCTGCTTTACTGATATTTATACTGTAGCACGTGCTAATAAATTAAAATTTTAATACATCTCAAAAACTGAATTTATTTATGTAAATTAATAATAAACTTGTTTCTCTCTACGCCCCTCCCCACTTCAAGTTCTCTAATCACATTTTCTCGTATCATCAAAACTTGTTCCCGAGCAGGAGTGCGCAGTTGTTATCTGCATTTAGAAGTGCATTAGTATAGAAGTGCATTAGTTTTGCAAAAATTAATTTGACACAAATCCCCTTTACATATAAACAGCTTTCCTAAGTATAACGGAAGTGCACCATATTTAAATTCAATCAAATTGAATTGATAAGCAGCGCTTCCTCGACATAAATATATATGTAAAAGTGTCACTAAATATTCCGAAATTAATTAAACAATGACATATAAACACAATGCCACAATAAAAGTCAGATACGGATACGGCATTTAGGTCCGCTGCTGCATAATGAACCTTAGGAAAGCACTTCGCTTTCTATCACACCTCATCCGCAAGAACTCATACACCGCGTAGAATCCACACTTAACTCAAGGAATGGTAGATAAGCTTTGCGGTATTTCATTTCAAAAATACCCGAGTGTGTTTTTTATGATTAATTATTATGAATTAATGAATTATTATTAAAAAATTTTAAGCATAAATTTTTATAATATTTTTTCTTTCTGTTATTTATAAATTTAATGTGATTCACTTTTAAACTAAAATATTAAAAATTTTTTATTTTTTCTACACAAAAGTCTAGATTCTTTCGATTTATATATATATATAAACTATCAATGACTATTTTTAGCTCAAATTTCAGCGGTATTTGCTGATTCTATTCTATATTAAAGTTCATTTCTATTGGATTTATTCTATATCTCCACTCATTCATACATTCATATATAAAGATCGAGAAACTTTCTGATACATTGGGCTTATCATGTAATGAGAATGATTGCCAACATCAGTAAAGAGATGTGGCACTAAAGACTTATTGTTTTAAGTATTTCTACAAATCGTTACATTATAAATTATATAACGTCAACATTTTGTTGTTGTATCTAACTCTCAATCTAAAAAAGAGCCTGAGACACTCGTATAATAAATGCTCTACAGTTTCCTCTGCGATTTCGCCATTAGCTTTCATTATCAAGTCTCTACTTGTGATAACAGAGATTAGCAGGTTGACACTATGTTGATAGCAAAGCCTCTATCATTTTGTGGGAAGCCGTTAATAACCAAAATTATGCACCTATTATCTAATAGGTGAGTTTACACTGGAGTTATTTAATAGAGTTAATCAATTTATTTTATTAAATTAATATTAGAAATTAATTTATGAATAGTATTTGAACACCTCGGTAAGCTAAACAGCTTAAAGCGCTTGATTTAATCGAAATGATTGAGCACTTATTATTATATTGTCCCAAGGGTTAGTCTTATGTTGAGCCTTTTCCGAGTTAGTGCATCTGTGCACTTTTACTATATGATGACTGAGGGATTTCTACAAAGTCCCACATATCTCACTGACTAATTTGAGTATTCTTCATAATCTTCGTTATTATTCAATGATTGATCTAAGATCTGCGTACCGCCCCGTGCGGTTAGTGATTACTCTGAGATTAAATAATGCTAAGTAGGGCAGCCGTCGGTTTTCGCATATAGCTTCAGAGTTCTGGCCCTTAGAGAGATATATGTCACCACTAGCCATAATTTGGCAGTTTTGGGATATGTTCACCCGCAAAAATATATAAAAAATTGATCAAGGGTTAGTACCGTACCGAAAAAGTGTCGATATAATGATTTTTTAAACTATAACATATTGCATATTTTACATAAAAACACATTAACTTAAACCAATACATGATAATAGTAATCTATACAGTATAAATAGTACTATATTAAGTGACGAGTCCACAACTATCAGTTTTGAAGATATAGCACTAGTATAAACAAATTTAGGAAAATGGAGTTAATAGGTAATTTTAAATGAAATTTATTCGTTGTGTTTTTCCCTCAATAAATTATGTTTGTTACGACCCTGCACGATTCTTATCGGAATATGACGTTTCTTATTAAGTAAACTCTGTGCTTGACCTTTTTAAAATTTGTTGTTTAGACAGTAAAAATAATAAAATTCACAAATTCAATTCAAAGAAATACAAGACTTTAATAATATTTACTCATCAACGACTTGGAAAGCCCTTAAAAAAATTTTTATATTATTTTTATATTATAAATGTTTTTGTTATTAATCGTTTTTGTTTTTTTACTTAAATATTTTTCTATGTGAATTTTTGGAATGTTCTTAGAATTGAGTTACGATTATAGAATATATAAATACTATAGAATAAATCATTGAAATCTTTAAGGAACTTCTAGTAGTTGTAAACATTCTGAAATATAATTACCATACGTGTTATTTCATCGTTATATAAAATATTCTATCTGATATCTCCATATATTTTGAGGAGCAATACAATATCAATAGATTGTAAATATTTTTGTAACAGAATGATATGGTCGTATTAATTTAAATTCCCTAACTCTCATTTGCAACAAAAAGGTTTAAACGCTTACCATATGTTAGTACCAGTACACCCCAGTATTAGTAACCGGAGTCAACCAGCAAATAAATAATTGTCAGTAATTTCGTTATGTACAAAGTAATATAAGCGATTAAGTATTATTTAGTCGGATATTTCCCTAAAAAGAAATATAACTTATTTGTACATTTTCTTCGCAAATCCACATCGAAAAAAGAATCACCCCACGTATGTTGTAGAGTACTAAGCTTATTACATTGAAATGAAGCACTCATTTTTAGTTAATGTGATTAATATATAAGATTTTTAGAATCTTAAAAAATTTTTTCATTTTTTAATTACTTAATATTTTGACAAATTCTTTTCCTTTGCTGTTTAGGAAATAACATTTCAGTATGTTTAATATCAGAGTGGCAGTAATGTTGGTTTATATGTTCTGCTTGGTGTTAGTAGCGAATTGCTATGGACTAAATCCATCCAATCCATTAAGGAACGACATTGAAGTTGTTTACCAATGGAAAGTACTTGAGTACGGGTTTCCAACCGAAACTGATCGTCAAACTGCCATAGCAAATGGAAATTTAGTAGCAATTAATGGAGTGCCAATCGATGTTATGCCTGTATATTGTACGTTAATATATGAGAAAAAAAATTGTAAAAAAATTATAATGTATTCATTTTCATTATAGCAAAATCGAACTCCAGACTATTTGTTACAATACCACGGTTCCAAGGTGGAATACCCTATTCACTAGCCACGGTAATTGCTCGTAATCGTGGAGGCCCGATTTTACAACCTTACCCGAGCTATGATTTGCACAATAGTCATGGAACAAATTGTGATGGCATCACATCGGCTTTCAGAGTTGCGGTTAGTAAATGTTTAACCCTTATTAATATCAAAGAATAGTACACATTAGAGGATTAAACACTTACACCTTTTTATTTGCAGTTGAATGAATGCAATCAAATGTGGGTAATCGATTCGGGCATAATTGGCAGTGAACAAATGTGTCCACCACAGCTGCTGCTGTTTGACTTAAACACAGATACACTATTACATCGATTTCGTTTTGCTAATAATACTTACATACCCAGTGCTTCGTTATTTATAACGCCCGTTTCGGTTGTAAGCGATCCACCGCCACGTGGAACTTGTAAAAATTCCATGGTTTATGTGGCTGATGTTTCCTACCATGGACTTGTGATATACAATTATGCACAAAATATGGCTTGGCGTGCAGAAAATAAATTTATGTACCCTGACCCTGATTATGGCACACATACCATTGCTGGCGAAAGTTTCAATCTCATGGATGGCATATTTGGTATGGCCAGCGATAAGAAAAATTTGTATTTCCATCCTTTAGCAAGCAGATCGGAGTATTCAGTGCCGTTAAGTGTATTAGATAACCGTGCTAATTGGGAAAATAATTTAGAATCTTCACCAAATGAGTTCAGATCATTGGGCAAAAGAAATAGCGAATGTGCTGCAGAGGCAATTGATAGTATAGGAAATATCTACTGCGTCACACTTAATCCAATCAAATTGTTAAGTTGGAATGTTAACACACCTTATCAAGCAAAATATTTCCGAGAAATTCCTGTAAGACCAGAACTTCTTGAGTTTGTAAGTGGAATGAAAGTTGTGAAAAATAATGAAGGCAGAGAGGAACTGTGGATGATTTCGAATAGATTTCAGGTAAAAAGTATTTAATTTTATTAAAAAATATATTTAATATGATTTTTATTTCAGAAAATTGCAACTGGCACCCAGAATCCAAATGAGATTAACTTCCGCATATTGAAACTCCCACTTGGAAATCTACAGAATGGTTTCGGTTTTAATGCACCCAACGGAGACTTGCATAACAAATTGGTTTTTAATTAGAAGTCTGTTTATATTCTTTTATTTTAAGTGTATATTTTATTTTATCTAATCTAAGTTTTATACATTAATTGTCAGCTATAATTTAAGCACAGAAATTCCAAATGTTGCTAATACCAATTATAATAAATAATACTTTACATATTTTTTAACAATAAAATATTAAAATTATTAAGAAAAATAATTAAATTAAGAGAGAATACCGGATAACAAGCATATATATATACAAATGTTACTCAGTCTTATAGGTAGGTACTCATGACCGCAACGAGTTATAGGAATTATGCACTAACCTAAAGCAAAAAAATTTTGTCAACTAAATGTTGACTTTGTTTACAGTAAAAATTTGGTTAATGACCTACCAGAAAAATGAATTATCACTTTACACCCAAATAAAGGCAATAACACGATGTTAGAGAAAAACAAACCAAATTAAAAAGAGAAAGTATGAATGACTTAGCAGTTTAGAGAACTCGCCCACTTGATCCGAAATGTCAAAATTTGGCATAGTTACTCGTAAACTACTTTAAATGTCAGCGGAACACTAACTGGTTCAATCTATGCTCTTTGCACAACTATCCGCATATAGTATCTTCAATTCCAAAACCAAAGGAGAAGAGTGTAGATCGATAATGAATTACGGCATAGGGTGCTGCGTACGCTTATTGCACCGGTTCGGGTTTGTTTACATATTTGCTATATTTGCTATATTTGTTCTTTTAATTATGTATATTATTTTATCATTTTTATTCATTCGAAAGTTTGAATAAATAACCCAATCTGGAGACGAGTTTAAAATTCGTATATCTCATTTAAGAATTTTTAGTACAAGTATAAAAGCAACATTTGCCGAAACCAGTTCACTTTTCTAATTGAATTGAGAGGAACAGCAACAAACTTTTAAAAATACCAAAAATATAGGCAAACCCAAATATTCGCTGGAATAAGTATGAAAACTTTTCAAATATTTCGTTCAGTTCGAGCTCTGAATTGATATCGCGAATATAGCTAAGCATTATCACCGCTGATTCCCAAGCAAATTGAGTTAACTGATTAAACCTTTTAAATTATCACAAATATTGGAAGTGCGCACTATGCTTTTTAAAATGTGAGTGAAAATAATAATAATAATAGAATAATGAATTAATTGCAATTTATTATTAATTTTTAAAGAAAAATATGTTTACCTACGTGTTTAAATTAAAAATACAACGCATCGAATTTCGCAAAAAATATGGGACTTGAAATGAATAATTTGTTTAACAGAGTAGGATGAACTCTTCGGGTGTCATTAAACCTAAACTGCTTCAAATTAGTGCAACAAATAAAATTTATATAAAAAATAATTACGACTAAGTCTAATAAATCATCAAGTAAAACAAAACAACTTTCAATGTTTAAATATAAAATGAAAAATAAATATATTCAGATTTATAATGCATACAATATCATAACGAGCGCATCTCTTAGGATCAGTAAAATCCTCTTCCTTAAGACAGGCTACCTTGCCCACATCTATTTATGGCACACAATACCTCAGGAATTTTACTTGAAACTATTGTGGATACAAAAAAACCGTTTAAATTTTTTGTATTGGGTATTTACGACTATTTTAATTAAAAGTTAACTAACCTTATTATACAAACTTGACTCGAAAAAGTTCCACATAAACCCAACTAAACCCTCGACAGATGTGGAAACAAATGTGAGTGAATATCTAAAAATGATTTATAAAGATTTTTCTCAGTGCACAAAATTAAAGAAAATGATCTCTTTGTCTGAAATTCTAATTTCGACTTCCTAATGTAAAAATAGGAAGCTGGTTCAGCTATTGATGAATAAATCTAATTATTATTAAAAACTAATTGTTTTGTGATTCTGTTCACTATTGTTGTGATGGAATAAATATGCATTAAAAATACATTTCATTATAAATAAAGAAATGCTAATAAAGAAAAAAAATATATTTACTTTTTTCAATCATTCTATAATTAATATGTTTTCCGAAGTCATACATCAATGTGTACCGCACCTCAAACCGCACCTCAGTTTTCTGATATATCATAGTGCTTTTATATTCTGTGAACTTAACTTTAAACGGTGATCGTTATTCCTTTTACGTTTTGTCTTGATGATTAGCTTTGTTAAAACCATGAATTCTTGGCATGTAATCCATATAAAATTCCTTTTTTAAGATTAGAAATGGAAGCAATTGGAACACTGGCAGTATCTTTGCACTATCGTAATTATTTTCACAAATGTGTAGCAACAATTGTCATTATCCATACAAAATCAATACAAAAATGCTAATGAGATTCGATATTGTTAGAGTAAATACTGAATAAAGTTCGTTTTAAGTTTCTAAGTCCTAAAGTCGTTGGTAAAGTTTTTATTGTAGTTTCCCAATAACTCCAAAAATATTCTACTGTCTCCTTTTACTACGACTACATATCATCTTATTTATGGATTACAATGTTGACCCATGTACTAGATATTGTGTATTTTTTAAATTAAAAATCATAATATAATTTGATTAAGATTATTAATGATTATGATTAGCAATGATTATTAGACATAAAGTTGCCTATGACTAATAGATTAGTTTATTCGTGCATTTTGATGCCCTACTGTTTGTTATCTTTTGTGGTGTTCATTCTATCTGAGCTTTCTCACGAAAATGTGTCGGAAATACTTAGCTGTGGTGGATAGTGACTTAGGATGCCATTTTTATATGTGTTGATAATTTGTAATAGAATTTCCACAGAAAGACTACTTCAATTAATACTTCTCCAGATAATTACAGAAAGTGAAGCACGGAAAGGGGCTTCCCTCCTTTAACCCATTTTTTCCTACAAGTAAGGTAACATGACAGGTTGTCCTCAGAATTTAAATACTGCTAGAGTGAATATAATATTGGATATCTCAGATATCCCCTTCTGCAAGCATAAATACTTTACAAAATAAAACAATAGAAAAGTATCTATACATCTGACTTTCTACAAACAGAAAAATGTCTGAATATTTTTTTAAGGACCAATGATGATTCATTTTTTTTCTTTTTTTGAATTCATTAACAGTTTTTTATAGTAGTCTTTACAAACGTAATACGCTCTGTTTCAACTTTTTCTAGAAATATTTTTTTTGGAGATTTTATATATTCTTATTTCTTAAGAAAATTCTTAACGAATAAGGTACAACGCCATAGCTTACAATATATCTTATATCTATATCTAAATATCTATATCTATATTGAACTTATTTTTGTTATTAACCCCTCAGTTACAATATATTGTTTATAATTATGCTGATTCTGGTGATACTCTTTAATAACGTATCAGCGCACAATCCGTCATATTCATATTATCCTCCGAGTAAGCCTGTAAGTAAATATAAAGAACTAATAAAGATTTATGAAGCAAAAAATTTGGAATTTGGATTTCCCACATTAAACGAAAGAATTAAATCACTGAATAATGGCAATTACGATCCTGACAGTCCGATACCAATCGATGTTGATGTCTTCTATCCAGGTATATTTGAGAAATTTATCGTCTTATAGGAGTACTAAAATTTTTAATTATACCTACAGGCAATAACAGAAATCCTTACGTATTTGTTACAATACCACGCTTTGGAAAAGGTGTACCCTATTCGTTAGCATATCTCACAGACGTAATAAAACCAAACGGTACTGAAATACAACCCTATCCTAGTTACGACTGGCATGACTCTCATGGTGCGGACTGTAATGATCTGACTTCGGTGTATCGAGTGCAGGTAAGTTAAGAACTTATGTACGAGTATTACATATAAATATCTACCACATTTACTGTAGATTGACGAATGTGGCCAAATGTGGATCTTGGACAGCGGTGAGATTGAGTTTCAACAGCACTGTCCACCACAAATTGTTGTGTATGATATAGCCAAAAATCGCCTTGTTCACCGTTATCGCTTACCAGAAAAAGTTTATAAATCAAGAGTTAGTCGTTTTGTTACTCCATACGTTGATATATATGATCCACCACCACATGGTTATTGTAAGGACGCCTTTGTTTATATGGCAGATCCAACAGGTGCTGGTATTGTGGTTTACAACGTACGTACTGGTCGCTCTTGGCGCATTGAAAATAAATATACTTATCCAGATCCAGATTTTGGTACACACACAATTGCTGGTGAAAGTTTCGAATTATTGGATGGTGCTTTCAGTTTCGCAGTTACGCCGCGTGGCTTGCGTCTCCGCCGCTTCTTATACTTTCACTCATTATCACATGATTTGCAAGTTGCAATTCCGTTGGATGTTGTAAATAATGAAACAAATTGGAATAGTGGCATTAGCAGTGCATTGGATCAATTTATAAAACTCGGTAGACGAGGAGTTCAATGTGCAGCTTCTGGTATGACAAATCAGGGCTATCTCCTTTGCGGTCTATTGAATCCTATTGGTATAATTGGATGGAACATACGCACACCGTATATAACACAGAACCGCTTACTATTTGCGGAAAATCCCACCACGTTGCAGTTTGTCAGTGGCCTAAAAATAGTAAAAAACCCTAATGGCAAAGAAGATGTATGGATGGTCTCGAATAGACTGCAAAAAGCTTTTAGTGGCAGCATCGACTTTAATGACATCAATTACCGCATTCAAAAATGTGGGGTTGATGAATTATTGCTCTACAAGCAATGCAAGGAATAATGCTCTTAACATTTAATATGGTTAAATGTTAAAATAACTTGTATTGAAATTTTATATTATTAATGTAATATTTAGGACAATAGTACAATATTTAGTCACAGTTTTTAATTTTTTATAATAATTTAATTATGATATCAAGTAAAAATTAAAAATACAATAAACCCTGCACATGCAAATGGTTTGTGTATATGCTAATAAATGAAAAAACTCATATTTAATATTAAATCAAAATATTTGCGTATGGCAGTTCTATAAAAGTCAGCTGTTGACGGAAACCGTATCATTGTGTTGACGTTAGAATAAAAACATTGAAACATTCCGCCGCAATTATATTCTGCATTTCTGTAATAATTTTTAAGTAATTTAATAATCAATTAATTTGTTAAGTACAAATATGACTAATTTAATGCGCTGGTTGATGTACTTGGGATTTTTTGCAGTTCCTTATGTTGCAATTCTCACTGGAACCATTAAATCACAAGTGTTTGAAAATTTTATGTTTCATATTCAAATACTTCCATTAGTTTTATTATTTTTATTTGGAGTAAGTCTATCATAAATTTAATTTTATGCAAATTTAATCGTATTTTTTAATTCGCACCTTTAGTTATATTCGGCTAGCACTGTGCTTTACAGGACGCTTACTTTTAACGACTGTCCAGAAGCTGCAAAGGAACTTCAAAATCACATAAAAGAAGCTCGAGAAGATTTAATAAAGAAAGGTTTCAAATTCCGAAATTAGTTATTGACGTATTTACACATATGAAAATGAAAAAAATACACATTAAATTACTATAATCGCATTGTGCTTTGTATATTTTCTTTTAAATGTTTAGAAATAAAAAGTCGCCTGAAGCTGTTTTTTTCAGCTCTTTGTTATTACAGAGCATGAATGAATACAATAGCTAAGTGTAAAAGACTATTTTTTTACACATACAATACAATAATTAGTAGTTTTACTAAATTGAAAAGTTGGACCAATCAGCTAGGACATTAACATATTGTTTACAAAAATAAAACTGCGTTCTTGACAATTTCCACAAGCACCACATTATAAAGAAACTGATTCTTTTGTGGTCTACCTATACTAAAGGATAATTCTCTGAACATTATTTCGACATAGAAATTCAACAAGTACAAGCACCTCTGCTTCGATAAAATTAGAAAAAGAATAGATAAATATTAAAATTACATTAATTATCATCTTCAATGACATACGGAAAAAAATTGATCACTAATTTGCTATGGTTTTATGAACAAATTGGGTTTATCTTGAACTTAGTTTATTAAACAAACAAATGCATTTCCTCCCTTCAACTAAACTTTTGCAATTAATAGGATTGATGGAACTGATAGCAAATAATAGTTAATTACGATAGCTACATTAATTTATTTAAAAGTGATGATGTGCAAATTACCGGTACTAATGAAACGCACCAATACAAAAAAAATTTTTTTATTATAATTATTTATATTATATTTGGATTATTTTGCTCACATACAACTCAAATTATGAATCATATATATTGACAACTATTCATTGAGCAATTATTCGTACGCGTGCTGCTTGAGTAGTATGCACGCGACTAGATTATGTACTTCCAAAACAGAATAAGAACTCTGTAGAAACTGACGGAATGAGAACATGGAAGAGACATTCAATTTTTTATTGCATCATTGTCCACCACTCTTTACACAAACAGTTAACCCTTCAGGAGATGTCAACTTTGAGGAATTTAGTACAGTCGATTTAATACAATATTTAGGATTTGTCATTGAAAACGAATGATTTACTGAAGCTAGTTGAGATGATCAGATAAAACCCATAAGAGTATCACAATGGGACTCTGCTTATTTAAGTTTCTATATTCGGATTGACTTAAATACCGAATAAAAGCACTCTTAATTAAAGTTTCTTGCAACGAATTCTTCATCAATTAGTATACTTTTTAGATATTTTATATAATACGATTTACAACAACTATTTATATGAAGTAGATTTACTGAATTATATAACAACTTTTAAAATTCTGCTTGGACAGTTTTGTATAATACTATTTCAAAATAGTTTAAAAAACTCAGTACGCTTTTTTTATTAAATGGAAAGTCACGTATATTCCGAATGATTTAATATATAGTGTAATTTATTGTATATTCAAATGCCAATTATAGTAACAATATTTTTTGTTTTGAAATTCATTGAACTAAATGAAATTCTAATATTGCATGTATTTAATTTAGAATTTGAAAGCTATCATTTAATGGTTAAATACCTTATTTAAGTACTTCCATTTCATAATGTGCGAAGTTCAACTTATTTTAAAAAAATTTAATACGAGCTTATAGGTAATTTCATCTATCACTGCTTATAGGTTAAAAAATTTGGTCAATGTCAAATAAATTTTCAATTATTAAAAACATTTTATATTTTTCCCATTACATTTGTGACCATCTTTTTAACGGCATGTATTCTTTAGTAGGAGTTGTTTCCAGGAACTATAACAAGTCATGTAGAGGAATACAAGTTATAAGTATATTTATATATATGTATATATTTTTATATATAAGTATATAATTGACAATATAGTTCACTTAAATACTAATTGCATCAATTCAGACCCATCTTGCTGAGCAAACCTCTCTGCACACTTTGAAGTATTTAATATATATTATATATTTTTATTATTAATAAAAATAATTTATTTCATAATTATTTAAAACTATTCAAACCTTCTCATAAATTGCAAAAGGAAACCGGTAGACCAGACTACGGCTGTGACCCGTCAGTAAACCTACCACAAGACAGATATCATTAGAAAGCATCTCAATGAGTTTTCTAGATTTCTTCCTAACAAACCTGGTCTAACAGGCATAAAGATGCCTACATATTGTTAAGTCGTCCCCAGAGCTTAATAAATGAAAATTTCTTTTAAATGTTTCAAATGATTGACTGAGGCAAGATGATTCTTAACGTTAAAATCACTTCCTTCCTCGAAGATGTAAGTTGAAGATTTGTTAAGAGTAAAGATGCACACCATACGATATTTTTAGCAATTACATTTGAATTTGTAAAGCTTAAAGCGAAATCCTTAAGAGACATTGCATGCGTATTTGTATAATGAAGAGAGGCCTATGTATATTTATATATATATATGGCTATTTATAAGTTTATGAAAAATCAATCCGCAATACAAATAAAAAAATATAGTCTAGAAATGTAATTAAGCAAAATTTTATATATAAAATTAAAGTACAAATTTATAATAGTAAAGCTTAAAAGTATCTTAAAATATTAAAACTAATAATAAAATCTAAAAATATGTAACTGAAATTGTACAAACACACCTAATTTTAAAATGTTCAAATGTAAGTTTGGTTGTCAGTTTTTTCTATGTTGTTATTGTAGATCCTCGTGGATCCAGTTCCGGGTGAAGAGTAAGCAGAGCTCTGTTTACAATGTCAGCAATGAAAAATTATTAATTAATACAATTAAAGCTTTTTAATGATATGAAATATAATACACAATTTACATAATGTTTTTATTGCTGAAATTATTATTGCAAACTTATTTAAATACATAATCCCTATCTCTTAGAACAGCATCGATTGGATTGGAACTGTGTGATTACATCATCGATATCGTTTTATTAGTTATAGGAAGTTATACTTGTGGATTCATCACGTGTATTTCAAATAATTATTTATAATAGTAATTATTCATAAATATATATGTAATGTGTTTTTTATTTCATTTTATAGAATAACATTTTTTTTGAATAGATGAGTTGAGAATATTTGTTATTTTATTCGGTATTTCTCTGTATGTACATTTTAAATTAATATGGTTCTATCTTTTGTGTATTCTTAATTAAAACTTAAAGATTACATAAAAAATGTGTGTTTTTTTAAAAGTAAACAGAAGAAAAAAACTAAAACAACTTTACGGCATAAACAAAACAAAAAACAAATGACGAATATTATTATTTTTGAACTCTCGGCCAGAACTGTTCATAAATACAGAGATACTTAAAATTTTTATTTGACTGTACTCGAATGACTGCAAAAAGCATAATTAATAGGTACAGTATATATCTTCCAACCGCTATTAACTAGTTTGAGTTAAGTTAGCTTCATAAAGGCATGTTCAGTACTTCAAACACTAAAAATATTTAATAATAATTTTTAATAAATTTTTAACTAATAATTTTATAGTGAAAAATTATTTATTTTAATTTACTTTTCGTGGAGATCTATATAATCAACCAGACATTACAAAGATTCTGCAAATGACCTTTAAGCTTAATTACTATTTGAAAATACTACGGATATTAGGGTAAAAATACAAATCAATGAACCAATAAAATCAGTATTTGTTCCTTTATGTGAAAACATTTTTTTATTAATTTCAATTATAATAAAACTAATATCTCTACAAATTTAAGCACCGTTTCAACAATGAATACACGCCTTTAATATTGACAGTGATATGCACTTGATTTCATTTTTACATACCTAATCAAATTTGTGAGTATATTTTTATTTTGACTTAACAAATAAAATACACAAGATTAATAAGGCATCCGTCTTACATGGCAAATCTATCCATTTTACGTTTTTAAGATCACAAGTTCAGATCTTTCACATAGATACTCTAATTAAACTGCACCAATACTCTCATGCAGAAATACAACTGCACAAATACTGGACTGCATTCACATTGCATGGAAAGTACAATAATTTTGTAGCGATTTGGTGTATTTTGTATATGAGATATTGAGAATATGCTTCGTAAACACTTTTTTTGTCTCTATTTAAGATATTATCCAACAAAAAATACGTCGGGTATGAGTATTGAAAATTAGTTTTCTCAACCCATAAACTGAAATCTTTTCACCATATACATAAAATTTTCAACATATTAACCTTTGAACCTTTAGGTATTGATTTCGTAATTATTATTAATATGTCATTATAAGTAGCGACATATAGTATATCCTAAGAACTATCTGATGTTTATTTCATATATCGTAGTCGAGAAGTACAATTAAAAATACTTTTTAACCAAGTGCGAATAAACTCGCATAAGTCGCCTTCTATTATTATATTGAGACTAGTTGATTCAGTGCACTTGAGCACTTTTACTCTCTATTAACTGTGAAATTTCTTCATAACTCCTCTTTACGCCTTGACTGGATTATTGTTTATCACTTCATCAGACTAAGCAATAACTGACCTCAGATCTGCATACCTCCCCGAGGAGTCTATATTAATTCTGAGATTCGATAACGCGGTATTGGTAAGCCTGTCAGTTTTCGTAAATAATTTAAGGGCACTATCCTTTATGTGTATTTTGATCGGATTAATCTTGAGGTCCCTAAGGATGTCATTCGTCGTAATGTACCATGGTACCTTGAACAGTCTTGTCAGAGCCTGGCTTTGTGCAATTTCTACATCCATATAGAAGTGACGGTCGAATTATTTGATTATATATAAGCTTCCTATTCTTAGCATTGAAGTTTTCTTTTCTGAATAGCGGTTGGAGGTGATGAAGTCGCATTTTGTGCTTCATTACAAAAATTAAGTGCAGATATAAACGGTATTCTAAACTTATTAACATTGTTTATATAAAGGTTTATGTAAACTTTTTCTAATATATACACCTTGTTTTTAGTACAATTAGTCCGTATTGTTATTACATATTCAACACATTTTTGTGCGAAAAAATTATATAAGTTTTTCTGTATAAACCGTTTCAATTTTACAAGCAGACTACATCTACGTATATTATAAAATCAATTGGTGTTATACCTACTAATTCGATGTAAAAATCAATTTTTTTAAATATATTAATATCAACTCAGCAAATAATATTTTTTCTCAATGCTTATGACAACTAAATATACTTGTTAATGCGGCGTAGCGCAACACAGGTTTGAAGCTTTTTTCGGAATAATAAGCGCAGCTTTAAAAACTTCTGAGAGTAGCTTCGCTTTCAGTTTGTATTCGATCGTCACCGAGGAACGTACGGGTATCTCCACAATTGTCAAGCGCTGAAATCGGTCTTAAGTTAAAAAAATAAGTAAAATCAAATAAAATAAGAAAATTTTATTGTTTTATTGAATTCAGTATTCAATTCTGTTCACAAACACATAATTCTCTTGAAAAAAGTTAATTAAAAATTCGACAGTCGTCATGAGTCATAAGTATTTCTGTTTGGTCTTAGTATGCATAGCAGCTGCAGCCAGTGCTGTCAAGGTAAGAGTAGCGGATACGTAAATACTTAATCGTGTAATTTCATGCGGGCACATTGGGTTCATTGGGTATTTTTAAATGGAACAAAATTAAAGCTGAAACTGCCATAAATATCCGAAAGAAAATTGGTTTAAAAACCACATTAAGTACGATGTATGGTGTGCTTTAGATCGCAAGCTATTTTAAATTGATTTTCCATAAATTCAAAAAATTTCCTACAAAAATTTATTCGAGAAAGCAACAAAATGCATTTGTGCCCTTTGGGGTCCAGATACATGTATGTGGCATCGATTTAAACTAGCTACGAAGGTATCAATCTAGAATATGTAAGTCAAGTAAAAAATTTAAATTACGTTTGACCTCAACGTGCATGCATTTCAACCTACTACTCCACAATCGTAGTCGCATTCAACACTTGGCCAATGTATTTCGAGTGCAATGAACTCTTTTATGGAACGGTATTTATTGTTTTCAACGCATTTCGAATCTTAAAATACAAAAACCACAGAGAAATACAAATTTGGGCGTTAGCCACTGAAGCGAAAAGTTGTCTCACGTAGTGCCTAAGTTAGTTCCTCCGTACACAAGATTAAAGCGTTTCACGGAAAACCTGAAAGCAAATTAATTAAATATCAAATTTTGAATATTTTGCTGGTGTGTTTTTAATGATATGTGAAATGATAAATACTGAATTTCTAGCTCAGTTTGCTGCAATCAGATGTGTATATGAGATACTGATGTATCTCAAATTGCTTAACTTGCATTTTTATTTTATAATTTTCACTCATCTTACAACGCAAGAATTAACCAGTTTTCAATACAAATACTACGTACACACAAATGCATATACATATACTTCAATACATACATAGATATACTGTTTGTTTACAAATTTATTCTTATGGTTGTGTACAAAAAATATTTATACTCGTATAAATAATAGAAATAAAATAAAAAAGTTATGGCAAATATTTTGATACTTGGGTACATATTTCAACACATTTATTAACTAATAGCGGTTATTGTTAAATAAGAGGAGAAGCGGAGAAGCGGAATTACACAGAAACAAATATACTTCTACAGCCCTTTGCTTGTATCTAATTTTTTGATTCATACCAATAGTATATGGAACTCTCATTACAATCTAATAATACATTTACGAATATATATACAATAAATATATGTATCGGATTAGTGTTACCAAATATAGTAGGTTTACCAAAACCATATAGTAACAAAACCCGCGATAACTTTTGTATCACCCAATATACAGTCAGGGACTAAAGCTTAAACACCCTTAGAGTTTAAAGAAAAATAAACATGTCACTAAAATTGTAAGTGTGCAAGCATAGCGGTTAATTTACAAAAACAAAAAAATGATGTGGACAATGCAGGCAATGTATTGACGTACTTAACAGCAGGTCCAAGGTAACTCTAGTTTTGGTTTCCGGGCGCAAGTGAGCTAGATACACTGGGCGCTTTCTCTGTGGAAATTTTTGGCGACATGCAAAGAGGAAGTGGGCTCAAAATGTCTCTAAAGCCAGGTCAAGCGGTTTATGGCCAATATACTCCAAATTTAAAACCTCTCACTTTGTACCATTTTTTGTCAACAGGCAAAGAGGAAGTGGACTCAAACTTTCTCTGTAGTCAAGCTGACTTGGCACACAAAAGCAAATCAGAAGTATCCAGATTAATATTTGCCTTTTAGTTTTTTTTTAGTATCTCCATCTCCATGTAGTGCATGTTTAATGGCGATCAAGGAAATCACATCAGAACACTCGTTCTGTCTGTGTCTAAGCTTTTCTAGAACCACGCTTAAACTTTTGGGGATCCCCAAAATATACTCGGCGATATTTACAATATTAACTTTAGACAGGCATACATTTATCATTGTTTCCGGCTGGTTCTATCATGACCATTCTTCTACCCACTATAACGAGGAATTTCGGAACCAAAACGGTAGAAACGGTTTGAGAAGGATTTATTTCTCCATTCACTTCAGCTAATTGGTTAGAATTTCTACTTAAAATTACAGAAATATAAAACATAAGATTTTGTTGGCCAATATAAAGTTGAAGACAAAGCAAACTGAAATCGGTATAGGACTTGCGAACTATAAAATTTTCAGGGAAAGTTAGGCAAAGACAGAAAGCGATTGTATTTTGGGAGTCTGTTAAAATGATTTTGAGTTTCATTTAGATTTTATTGTCCTATTGGGTCCCTTTTCATTATTAAATGTTACTTCGATCACTCCCTAAGGTAGAGCAGAAAGCCAGAACTAAGAAGACTTTTCAAGGTGCCATGGTACATTAGGACGAATGACATACTCAGGGACCTCAAAATTAATCCGATCAAAAAATATATAAAGGATAGAGTCTGTTACAAGCTCCTCGGGAAGGTATGCAGATCTGAGGTTAGTTATTGCTTAGTCTGATGAAGTGATAAACAATAGTCCAGTCAAGGCGTAGAGAGGGGTTATGAAAAAACTTTACAATTAGTAGAGAGTAAATGTGTTGAAGTGCATTGACTTAACTAGCCTCAACATAATAATATATTATTTATATTTTGTTAAAAAAAATATTTTTTGAATATTTTACATTTAAAAAAATAATATTTTAGTCGTAATATTACAAAATAATTTTTCCAATATAAGTAATATTTTGTTAAAATATTGAAAAAATTTTCATTTGAAATGAATGTTTACTTTTTTATTTCATTTTAAATAAGCACATGCAAATTAAAACTGTATTTACTCCCACAGGTACCAGTTACCATCTATTATGAATCTCTGTGTCCAGATAGTGCTAAATTTATCAATGAGCAAGTTTATCCAGCTATGAAAACTGAACTAAAAGACCACTTGGATATCACATTGGTGCCCTTCGGAAAATCACAGGTGCGCGCTCAATTTAGCTAAACTCTATTTCAGTTTAGTTTACGTAGCTTTCGTGTGTTTATTTTGCATAAATTTGTGAATTTCTGTTTTTTCTTCCGAATTTCTCTTTACAGTATTCCACACAGGGACCTGATGTACTATTCACATGCCATCATGGTCCAAACGAATGTTACGGCAACAAGGTGCATGCCTGCGCCATTGAACTCATTCAGGCAAATTCTTATCAAACTGAATTCACACGTGAATCGCTGACTTTGGACTTCGTAAATTGCATGATGAAGGTAGGCAAAAATTTCCCTGATAATGTTTATCCTGGCGCACGTTGTGCACGAGAAAATCATATAAGCACTTGGGAAAATATACAACAATGTGCCAACAGTACCGATGGTAGCGCGCTATTAAAGAAACAAGGAGATGCTACAAATAATTTCCAAAATCCTTTAGTGAGCGTTCCCACCGTTGTCTTCAAACAGGTAATTGCATTTTAAGATCACATTGTATGACATATTATTTATTTTTTCTATTGTAGCAATATGATGCTAAAGTAAGCGAACGTGCACAGTCCGCATTTCTCCAAACTGGCTGTAAATATGTGCCTCAACCACAACCAAAAATCTGTGCTGCTCCTAATGCCGCCAACAGCATTTCCTATATGTCGATCTTAAGCATTGGCTTATTCTTGCTTTTAAGCAGATTTCTTTAGATCAATTATTTGATTATCTCACCTCAGCTTATAAACATTTATTAAGCTCATCATCCGGCTTGTTTTAGTTTGGATTTTGCAATCTATCCGTCCATGCTTCTTAGCGCTTCTATTTCAAGAGTTGTGTTATATATAGTTATATACTAACATGTATCAATTAATTAATTAATACATAATAATAATAAAAAAACATTTAATACAATTCACTTTAGTATAATTATTTCATTTTTCAAAATTTCAGTGTTTCAATAAAAGACACTTTAATAAAATAGGCCCTGAATCAAAAGGTAGGAATATTTAAGTTCACTCAAACAGAAATTTTCTTCTATTGCACTATTTTTTTTTTTTTTTTCGTAGTTAAGTAACCACCTCTCTGATGATATGGAATTCAAAGACTTACATCTACTAACAACAAATTGTATGCACGCAAAGTGAAAGTACATACTGTCTCCCTCTTCTGGTTGGTTAGTCAAGTGTTCTAGATCAAAGATTCTAGATTCTGTTTGACTATGCGAATGTCAAGCTAATTATTAAAAATATTGCCGAAATATGTGTAATAAACACTGTGTTATAGAGTTTTCTGTATCACCTATTGCTAAATGCTAACATTTGATACAGGACATTAAAGAACTATTTGCTATTATTATTCATGTAGCTCATGTCGTTTCAACGCTTATGCAAAAAGTGTGAATTAAACAGTAGTAGTGGATTCTGATACTTCCTTACTTACTTACTTAGTTGGTCAAGTAGCCTCCGCCAGCCAGCCCGTTTAGTTGCTTGCTTTCACCAGTTGGTAGTAACGAGAATCCGAAAATACAGATGTCCTCTACCGCGTTTTCCACCTGCGGGTATCGAATCAAACACCTTTCTAGCCGGAGCACTTTCTTCCATTCGCACGACATGACCAATCCAGCGAAGCCGCTGAATTTTTTTGCGCTTAACTATATGAATGTCGCGATACAGCTCATACAGCTCACCATTCCATTTCATTCGATAATCGTCGCCAACGCGTAGGGGACCATAGATCTTCCGAAGAATTTTTCTCTCGAATGCTACCAATGCCTTCTCATCACTGTTGATAATTGTCCAAGTTTCTGCACCATACAATAGGACAGGCATGATAAGAGATTTGTAGAGTGTGATTCTGATACTAAGCTTAATTTTACGCTTACCTAGTTTTTTGTCATTGAACAAATCTTTTGTCATTGCAAAACTTCCGAACTGCCTTAATAGTTATTGGATAAGTAAAAGAAAACTCACGATATTATTATTATTTAATACTTGAAGTTAAGAACACATGTGGTAAAAATTGAAATGATAATAGAGCCTGTTACTTTTCAAATATATCCTTTGCCATTTCTAAACTAACTACCTTAAATTACTAATGTTTTTAATTACTAAATCAATTTAATATGTCAAAATAAAAAATTATAACAAAAAATTAACGTAATTCATACGTAATCATTACGTAAATATACCGAAATTGTAAACAGATTTCAATAAATGTACTAATGTTCTACGAGTGACTGAGCTTCTAGTTACCAAGAGCAAACAATAAACAATTGTTACGATTTTAAGTGATTAAGGAAAATCACTTTATTAAAATCGTTAACAGGAAAGCAATATATGTACAGCTCATGTCATAACATTTGATGGGTCACTGGCAACGCACCTGTTTATCAACAGAAATTTCTCTCCCGATAAAGCTATTTACTATCCACAGCAAAATGAACCAATTCAACCATCAGCAGTTCTTTGTGATTAATCGTTGAATAATTGCGAACATAATTCCTCCATGATTGCTACTTAATAATTATTAACTTTATCTCTTGATAAACATTCTAGTTTTGGTAAACAAACTACCAGATAACTATCAATCCAAAATAGAGCAGCCCTTTCCTCACCAATAGGAACACTTAAGCATGTTAGAGTGCAATATGCAATATTAATAAATTTAATTTGCGTCCTCCAAATCTGGCTTGCGACATCAACTTTGGTTTATCTTTCGCTTAAGGACTTTATCGGCAATTGAAATAAATTATGACACAAATTTGTACATATGTAGAAGTATTTCTCTATATACAGACAACAAATTATGTCATTTATTCAGTACATATTGTTTTCACATGTATTCAGCTAATTTACATTTCACATACTTTTACGCCTCCACTCGAATTTGTATTTATGTATAAAACAATTAAATTGCCAAAGTTCAGTAAAAGTATAACTTTCCCCGTTTTCAATTTAAATACATTTCTTTTGAACTACTTTATCGGAATCTCAATCAGGATTCCGTATTATAAATACTCTAGAGAGCTATCAAAATAATCTAAACAGAATCCTTAACATCATTTACAAAGATACAATAGTTCATCAATGAATGCAATGTCAAAAACAACTTATATTCAAGTCCATCAAGTACATACTAACGTAACACACTAACATCATGAAGTAAGTCGTAGCTAGATCTGGCTGGCCATACATTGACCTGATAAGTCCTTATCGATACACAAGTAATGTCCTTAGGAGCAGTTATTACCTGCACACATTTACTAAAGTAATTAAGTTATAAAATAATATTAGGTAATTAGACAATCTACTCATGCTAGCAATCGGTGATCAACTTATGAAAAAATATCTTTGTAAATTTACTGAAACCCTAAAGAGTTTGGATTAATACATATTTAATGACAATATGAAAATAAAGCATATTTATCTAATATGGGAAATTTTAAATTTAATAATAATTCGACTTCTTATATATTGTCAAACGTTAAAATAATTTAAAAATATATTTAATATAAGTCTACGGTTCAGAAATCAACTAAAAATTCGTTTAAATCACAGCAATATAAACCTGTAAGCATACTACTGTAATACTAGCGAGTATCGGAATATTTTACATCATTAAATGCAGTATCACTCAATCCATTAGTTCGCCTAAAGTGGGTTTCGAGTCATAGGGGGATGAGGCCATAACTTTTGCTTGAGTCTAACTTGCTATGTAAACAGAAAATTTTTACGAAGAACACATGTTAAGTCACAAGTATGACATTGTCTAAAAATACGTAATGATCAATATAGTTGCTGCCCTAATAGGGTACTGTCTAATATGATAATTATTATATGTAAATATGATAATAGGATGTAAGCATGTTTCTATTATAACTGTAGAACGTGGGGATCAGAAAAATAAGAAAAAAATGTTGGTGATCTCTTGCTCTCTCGCCAGTCTAGATCTCGCCAGTATAGATTTCACTTGAAATAAATCATCACTTCTTTAAATGTTTAACCGACTCTCTCAATGAATTTATTAAAGATATTGTTGATTTTATCAAAACGTCACAATGGTTAGCTGATCAAAATTGATTATTCTCTATCCGATATTCCTAGTACAAATTATAAAGTATTTTAGGTACCACAATGCATACAGTTTTTAAGGTCTATGTGCACTCATCTTTAATGAAATTAACTGCCATTAGCATCTATCTATCTAAACTACTACTACTTTATATTGACTACTGTACAGCTTTCCGAAACTCCCTGTCTTCACCGAAAAACTTGTTTGGTGTCGCAGTTGTTAAAAGATGTAATTCCCATTACTAGTAAATTATATTACTCTGAATGGAATCGGATGGTACTGAGATATTAGATCGAAATAATGAAATATTTTTTTTTTATAAATCGGCACGTTCTTCCTTCAAACCATTTACAACAGCAAAATATGGAAGATGTTATTAGGCATTGGATCTTATTGATATTGGTTATCGTTATTGGTATTGGAGAATGGTACAAATTATAATCGTTTAATTACTTTCCGCGTTTATATATAAACAAGAGACTCCGGTTACAATTGGACCCCTCTTGCCATTCCAGCAGAATGTATGCAAGCCTACTTAAAATGTGCAAAATGATTTATTTACTCATTTTTGGTAGAAGCAACATTTTAATTTATTTATAAAAATACTAAAAACTTCTTACGTCATGAAAGAGCCAATTTTTTTTGTTTTTTGAACTTCAAGCACCAAAGACTAGAAAAATATGAAAATGTGTTAAATGGATGAATATGAAAACACACGAGAGGAAGCGCAAATTTCCTGTGAATAAAACCTGCCTCATTCGTGCAGAATAAGATTTTCGCCCACACAGCTGAAGGAGGAAAACTTTCGCCAACGCTCGGAAAAACTTCGCCTCTGATTGGCTGCCTGAAAATGTTCGTACCAGCAACGTTTTTGTTGTAGTTGCTCTTATCAAAACTGATAAAGATATAAATTCGGATGTGGAACCAAAGTGCTTCATTCAAAATTTGTCACCTAAAGAAGGAAGTTGCTGAAGTGCTGAAGTGCTGAGGTGCTCTTTTCCAGCTCTAAATAAGTGCTAGAAGCAAAACGAACCATCCTTAGTTTGTGTAGTGAATTTGCGAAATTAACACATCAAAATTAAAAAATAAGTTTGAAAACAAAATTAAATTGAAATAAATCATAAAGTAAATTGAAAAAGTGCAGTTATCGCTAAAGATAATATACATAAAAATAGAAAGTAATTTTTTCTCAATTTAGAAGACCTAAGCGGAACAAATACCAAGTGTAAGTATTGTATATCTCTAATAGATTTGTGATTAATTGTATTATCGAAAAAGCATAGCTACAAAAACATATTTGCGGTAAGTCCCAAAACTGAAAAAGTAGTGCAGTTCCATCGAGTGATGATATTAAATTTTTTTTTGTTTTTTTGATTTATTATTTAAATGTGAAATTTTCACAATCAGCAGCAAAATTAAAATTGATAAATGATAACAGTTTAGTTTGCCTCTTTGTAGCTGTTGATTCGTCTTGATTATTTTAAATTCTAACTGCAGGATATTTGCACAAATGGAATCATCAATTCATTTCCCTTTAATTATGGACCTTCATACTGTCTGTCGTGTTTGAAGCTGTGCTTGAGAAAATAATTTTGCATTTTAGTTGAAGCATCACCAACATTATTTGGTATTCACTCGATTGGCATTTAGTAGCTCCAAAGAGCCACGATAAAATTTTGTATTGTTTGTTTTTCTTAATGAACACCAGGAAGCCTCCAAGAACAGTGTTAAATTCATAACCTTTTATTGCAGAACATGTAAGCCTAAGGATATGCCTTTAATGCTCATTTTTGTTGATTTATTAATTTAATTAGCAATAAAAAATCTGACCAAACTTCATTAAAGTGGGTTATGATGTCTACTGTTTACCAGTAAATTTCTGTGTGGCGCTTCTCAAATTATTTTTCACTTATTTAAGCAAAAATTGAAGAGAATTAAATTATTTTAAATTATTTTAATTCTCAATAAAGAATTTAAATAGCTTTTGATAAACTCTATTCTTGAATTGTTTTTAGTTAAACAATTTACCCATACACATACAAATTGGTACAAATACAAATAGTTAATACTTCAGTTTTTTTTTTAAATTTATTTTTCGACCTGTTTATTAACATTTCTTTCATTATATTCTTTATTTTGTACTTTTTTGGTGCTGTTAGCTGACTGTTTTTAATATTTTTTGCGAAAGTAGAAGTTACTTCGACTTTCACTTAACTTTTATATTTGGGCTAAGCTGAGCGAGCACTGACTATTTACATAAATTAAGTTAAAAGGCTTACTTCGTGATAAGACGAAAAGGAAGTATATATTTAATTGTGTAATCAAAACTTTTCCTATACTTTTGAGTCTAAATATGCACTTCTCGTTTTTAATATGAATATCCAGAATGAAGATATTTCATTGTCTTAAAACAAAATATTCATTTTAAAGGACTTTATTTTACTGATTAAAATAGCATTATTTGAATTAACAATGAATTAATAAATGAAAAGATTAGATCCTAATCGAAATTTATCTACTTAAAAAAAATAGAATGGATATAAGACATTAGCAGAACTTAAAACCTCAGGATTTAAACCACAATAAACGATTCTGTGAGTTTTACAAAATCATTACATTAATCTTTTTTAAACCACTTTTACGTGAAAGTGTACATATTTTATTAGTTTGTAGGCGCTGAAAGCTGTCGAAGACTCGATAAATTATATGTTATATATATCAACACGATATTAAAATATAAAAATAAAATTTTATTTTCTGACCCGTTGAAACACAAATTTGACACTTGAGTATCAACTCAATCATTAAACATGGGGATCAAGTACGTAACGAAAGGTCTTGAGCGACTGCTAAAATCAATGAATTAAAGTATTATATTTATACATATATGTATTCATTATGCTTGACTGACTGTGTGTATTAAGACAGTTTAATAATATAATTTTTTTTTAATTATTGATATTATTTGAAAGCCAAATTTGTAACTACAGACCTGGGAAGGAAACTCTATTTTTAGTAAATAAGGCTCATATGAGATATCATAATACGTTGTTTAACATGAAATATGTTTTGTTAAAATGTCTTTTCCACAACGCTATTCAAATTTTCAATATGTTATATCCAAAAATGACATCAGTAGAAATTCAAAAAAAAATTTCCTCTGTTCAAACTACTGTAATTATTTGCTTCTCCGATTTTTTTTACCTAAAATCTGATTCTCCTTCGCATTTAAAAGTCTACATTAAATAAAACATTCAAATGAAAAAACATTATGAAATATAAACTCACTAAAACCACCTATTAGGAATGCGTAGAGAATAGATTCCAAGCAAGGGACCGTGCATGTCCAGGGCTACGAATTCCATTCCAGTATCAACGTTGGTAGTGGAGGGACTAGTAGAGCTTAACATTTACATAGTAAATATATCTAAGCCATGAAGTTTGGTTGGATGAAATTGGGGAGGAGGACTATTACTTAAGTTGAAGCAACTTTAGGTGTGGAAGGGCTAGTTACAAGTAAACTCGTTCAAGGAGGTTTCTGTAACCACGGTTTTAAAGCGGGATTACAAGGAAGAAAAAACATTTATACAACATTTATATATATACTGCTTTAGTAACGAACCTGATAATAAGTTCGCGAAAAAACGAAGAATTATTGACACTGTTCAAATACTTTATATGACTATATTTAAAATATTCTTAAATATGTATATTTGAGAACTAGCGTAGTTTTTCTTATGAAGATTTTGTGAGGAAAGCTACGCTTTATCGTATTGGTTCACAAGATTTCGATAGTTTTCCGATGGTTTTTCGCGATGAAAACAATAGTTTGCTTATGGGATTATTCATATAATTTTTAAATAACTATTTTACAATATTATATTCAGTTATAAGTATTGTGGCGACGCCAATTGGCTATGGGTTTACTGAAATTGGAAAGTAGAAATCAATTTCAAATACTTTTAGTTTTTTGATTTAATTGAGGAAAACGTTTCTGATTTTACTCTTAAGAAAAGTTGGATAAAGATTTATTATCCTTGTTAATTATTAGTGTTTCTGTTCATTAGCAAGGTGTGGAGACCTTTGCTAAAGTATGTATGTGTAGTATAATTTGGGTAGATTTAAATTACAGAATTTTGAAACAGTGACATAAATAAATAAATTAATGTACTTTTTCTCAGCCAGTTAATGTGCCGTATAAACATATAAAATTTATTCATATCTTTAAAGTAGGCTTCACGTTTTCATTGTTTTTTTTTTTTGCTGCGTGTTATTGTTAGGTTATCAACGGCATAAAAATTAAAATTCCAGAAAACTCCTTTAAAAATAATAATGATATTTATTTTAATTAATTTAATTAATACGGTTTGTTTTCTTTAAACCGTCTGACTATGTTCACATGTGCCGAAGGCTAATTCACAAAACAAAAATAAAATTTTTGTATTCAATTCGGGTTCACAGAAAAATTTAAAATATCAAGAACAAATATTTATTTATATTTTTTGTTTATAAAGTGAAGAAAAATCTATGTTAATTTGTTTTATTAATAAAAAAAAAGCCTGTTTTCTACATTAGAATTTAATAACGCCTGCCATGATTGAAGATTAATCATTTTTTCCAGTGTTGTAAATTTAATTTCATTTATTTAACAAAAACAAAAACAACTCCATTCAAATAACTATAACGACTTATAAAATATAATGCGTATTGTCTAATAGATACACTAAATAACAAACCTATATTACTTGGAAATGGAAGGACCTAAGAAATGGATTCTGTATTAAACATTATAGTAAATTCAATGTTTAATTGTGCGATTAAATATTAGTTTTCCTTTCCACTTTTTTCCTATTTCTTATAATTTTTTTTTTTGAAGTTTTTCCGCAAATAGGTTTTTATTTTGCTGTTTTTCCTTGTTTTTAATACCGATAGTTAGTAGTGTAGTTGTTTTTTAAAGTATATATTTCACTAAGATTGAACACTGACTGTATGCGTGAGCGATGTGAATAGGTTTATGTGTAAACGGACTTAAAATTAATATGATTTTAATATTTCGTCTTAATCACATAAATTATTGTATTAAAAATAGTTTAACTAAATGTGAGAATATCTTTAGGAAAAGGAATTGCAAAAATAATTTTGATACAAACGAATTAAAATTTACTCAGACAGGTGAACTAAAATCAATAAATCTATGCGTATTATTGAAATGAGCAAAAATATATTATTAAGACGGTATCTGACGTCTTCCTGACTGCGTTTTAAACTGCGTTGACAAACTTTACATACCGATATTCACAATGGAGTGTATAATCTAACATTTAGTCAATAAATTTTTGAAATGTTTTATTTGTTTGTTTCTTTTGACAATATATTTGACAATATATAATCTCTTAAATCAGTACAAAGCAGCATATTTATATATTGATAAGTCAAGAACTATTTCTTGAAATAGAAACATTTATTACTAAAATGCCTTAAAAATCGTACAGTGCTAGGAAGTCATTATATGTGCGCTGATATTTATACACAATTATATAGTAATAATTAAAAAATAATTGTCAACATTCATTTTAATTGAGTCTAGAGGAATTCAAAATATAAGAATATTTTAATCAATAATTTTTATAGGCATAAAAATATAATCGTGCCTCATACACTCACAATGTTTATTATTAAATATATATGATGCAAAATATATATAAATAAAAATCATATACTCATTAACGGTTAAAAGTTCGCTGCCGATGTAGCTGATCGCGTTGCTATTTTAAAAAAAGACTGCCATTCCGAATCCAAAACTCGGACATGTCAACAACGAATAAATTCTCGACTGATTTGAAAGCATTGATTTGTTGTTTTTAATCGATGTTCTCCTAATTTTTTAATCCGGTAACGGTGTTAATAGATAACTAAGAAAGAAACAAAATATTTAGTTTTTTAAAAAGTGTTCAAGAAAAGATGCAAATTATCTGTGATTTTTAGTACCTCTACCAACCCAGCGAAGTTTACAAAAATAAAAAATTTATACCTTTAAAATTATTTTATTTAATTTATTTTGCTGTGTAAGTATTAACAAATACATTTCGAAGAAATTGTGATTAATAAGCATTAATATAACAAATTTATACAAATAGAAAAAAAATTATAATATATATTATAATATTATTAATAAGTGTTTTGCGAACTTTTGTGAAAAAGTTTTCTACTCAAAGAATATCAAATATTTGACCTATAAACAATCTATGGCATGTGTTACCAGGCATTAATACAAAAGAAAATCAACAAGTTCTGTTAGAGCACAGGTCATCGAAATTGTTACAGATGTTTACTTCCAAATGATTTTTAATATGTCTTTTTTACCAATATAATCTATTCAACACAAATTATATAGAAATTTACTGATAATTCATTATTTAAATAGATTAAAAATAAAAACAATAAATTTTCCACCCAACGATTCATCAAATCGTATATGTCATCTTAATTATATATATAACAACACATGTTTATACATACAATATACATATGTATATATATATATATATATATGTAATTGAAATAATTTCAATATTTGTAAACAAACATTAAGCAACTAAATTCTGATTTCTTGAAAAATATATCAAGTGCATAAGACAGGATTCGCAAGTAAGTGTAGATTTCAATCTCGCCGCCTTAATGTTTTATTATGGGGCTTTATTTTGTTAATTATATTCAAAAATTATAGGGTCACTTATATATGCCTTTTAACCATTATAAAGCGAAAATTTCAATTAAAATCTATAAATTATTGTTTAAATCAAAAAGGTTCACCAGATAATACTGTAGTTCAGCAAATAAGTGAAATTGTCAAAATTATTATTATATAAAAATATGTAGACGTGTATATATGTTTTGATATGTAATATGTATTAAAATTATCGAAAACATTCTTTCAAAAAGTAAAATTTAAGATTGATAATTCGAGAGATTACTTCAAAATTCTGTGAACTAAAGAATGTCAGAACAAATTTCAGAAGAAAACTTAACTGGAACAAAATTGCTGCTTTGAAATTGTCATATTCTCAATACTAAAACATATAATTCATGACAATAACATTTAAATAATTAGTATAAATTTATAATTAAGAAACTTATTTATTATAAAAAACATTTTAATAAAAAGTTTTTAATAAAACTACTTTGATAGACAAATGAGAAGTTCCACAGTTATTCTTATATAGAGAAAATTTCTCTTAATATGTAAATTTTCTTATATATATTAATATATCAGTTTTTCCAATTATCCAATCACATTTTCAATTAAATACCTTTGCCAATCATAAACATCAGTACTTTATACTACAACGTGATATAAATTCTATAATCTTCCTTCATTCTTTTTTAACTCAGTTGTACTTCATATATGAGAAATTTTTTAATTATAAAATCGACTGTACAATCAACTAATAAATATTTTAATTTGTTTTAAAAATGTCTTTTGATAAATATTCCCTTTAAAGTCAAACCACTACTTGCGATTATATTTAATGTGAATTTTTTGGGTATTATCCTTAATAGTCTTAAAAAGGCAAGAGTCCACTGATATAAAAAGAAATAATATCCTCAAATTTTGTTGCAAAGAAAATGAATGATTAAATATTTAACTAAAGAAATATTCAAGTTCTTATGAAATATAAAAAAATATTTACATATAAATATATCATAAAAATCTATTTAAATAATTTATTTTGTTTTTTATTTTTTGTTTAATATAAATATATTCACAAGTGTATGTCGTGCACTTCCTTGTCTATTCATTTTAAAAAAATGTGTTCCTTTATAATATAAATACTAACTTTATTAGTTATGGATTATATTTTGTAATATATTTCTTCAAAAATCACTATGAACATTTATTAAACTAGTCATTAAAAATAATATTTTCTTTGATTCAATAAGAAAAAATTAAAATTTATTTATTATTAGCTATTAACTTAGCTAACTATTTTCTGACTAACGTTCAAATTCAACTTAGAGCTGATAAAATCTTAAGAAAACTTAACATTTTTGATTTGTACTAGTCTCTGTACAAAGAGATTGGGATTCAAGGTATTTTGGTCCATTTAACAATCAAATATTATCATTTAATTGTTCAATTAGTTTTCAATACGTCTCCAGTCCCCTTTAAATGAGCCTCTGCATATGCCTATGTTTCTCTATGATTTTAATAAATTTACAATTTGGGACTTGTACATTTGTAGAAGTAAGCTAACAAATAGTTAGAAATATTAGTACAGTCGAAATTTGGCAAAATTTCCCATAAATGCTTTCTTTACAGAAACTTCACTAAATACCTATAGATAAATCTATTTTCAGCGAGTTACAAGGATATAGATTTGAAAGATAATTTACTAATTTACTAACATTTTAAGTTCGTTCTTACTTTCTTTCTAATATTCTAATATTTTAAGGATGCTAAACACGTACAAATTAGAAATCATTTTATGGAAAATTTGTAATTTATGTCTCAAACAAACTAAAACTAATAAAATATTAGGTAAATGCATATCACTAACATCTCATCACACGTCCCAAGAAATTTGCTCATCAATGGCATAAATTTTGATTTCAACATGCTTTCATTAAGAAAACTTTTAATCCTATTTGAGAACGCATCACATTTGTGGGAAGTTAAATTATTTAATGGAACAACAACAATAACAAACCACAGAAATGTGTAATTGTTCCCAAAACACAGCACTCCATCGCTTGGGGATATTTTTTTAACCGTACGTGTGTGTCAGTGAGACATTTACATATTTGACGTGCAAATGTGAATTGACTTGTAAACTGCAAGTGCCATGCTTTGTGAGGCTGTGAAAGGCTAAAGGCTGCACACTTCACTGTCATATGTGTATATGTAGTTGTGGTTGTTGTGTTTGTTGTGTCTGTTTTGTGTTGTAGCTGTTGTTATATTCCATCTAATTGAGTTTCGAACGAAATCTTTTCACGAAACAACTTTTTCACTGAAATCAAAGAGTTTACACATATGGGAATTTATTTGAACTTTGTTACTCCTCTTGAATTACTAATGACCTTTGTGGGTTTGAAACGATTTCAGTGCGCCCACCTGTTGCATTAAATATTTACTTAAGAAATTCTTAAAACACCTTTGGGAGTAAAATGATTATTTATTGTCTTTACAGTTGTTATTATTATACTTAATTAGTACAAATATCACATTATATTCAATCAAGACAGTGAAAATATTAAACTAAATTAAATAGAATAGAAGTTACACATATAATATGCAAAAATAATTCCAGATATTCAGTTGTGAGGCGTACTTTATCCCCTTAAAGTAATCTTCTAAATATAAAAAATGAATAATATTTGCAGATCAGGCAAATACTCGTTTCATTGCTCTTATTCTTCTGCTGCTATAATATTACAGTTGTTGGTGAGTCACTGTTTCCATAAGTAATACATTTCTATTTACCCAAACTGGTACGATAGCTCTTTAAGTAACCACAACAATTTTGTTCGAGTCATCTACTACATAAATTTATTTTCTCGAAATGCCTAGCTCTAATGTCAAACGTTAATTGATTAATTATATAACAACAAGATTACATTCAATAATATTCAACGTTTTGTAGTACTGGGACAGTACTTTCCGAAGTATTTTTTTTTCAATATACTAGAAGATAATTTATTTGATATAGTTTATAGTTCATATCTTACATCTATATGTAAAACCTGGGCGGACCAGAAAATCGTACATGTGGGTTTCCTTATTTTATGATGGTATCTTAATTTTAAGAAGATTGATCTAAATATGCTTGAAGAAATTTCTATTTGCAAGTTGAACTCTATCATATGTTTTCATTTATTTTCCCATTCAAATTTTTGTACATTCTTCAAGTCATTTTCCTTCGATATAAAATACATACTTAGTGGATTCCTGTGCCTGAAAATTAAAAATAATATTTATTAAGTAATTACAATACAAAACGGTATATACATAAAACATGTATAGATGATATAGCTGCATATTAGAGATATATCTCCTTCTGCGGACAATTAATGGTTCCAACCGTCCGAATAAAAACACGTAATATGATGACGAAGGTCATGCTACAATGATAAATAAAGATGTAGAGTTCAGAGTCACTCTACAAGCAGGTGCAACGTGTGCAAACGTAAATCAATAGTGGCCCGAAAGTTATACCAAAAATTTAAGCGTCCGTTGAACGTAAAAAATGAGAGCTACGGACTGCAAAGATAACAATGAAAATCTAGTTGAAGCACACTCTAAACTATAGTGATCTTCGGGAACCACTTACACCTATTTATGTCTTTGTCATATTAACATTTCCAAAACTGAAACCTATGGGTTGTGATAATTATAACCACAATCTGCAAATTGACACATTCAACTCAAAATGTAATTTAAAAATTAATTTAGATAGCATTTTTAAAGAAATATATATTATATAATTTATCAGTTCTTTACTTTTTCAGCAATATGAAATGTTGGATGTCTTTCTTCGTTGTGCTGATTTGTACAGCAGTTCTAGCGGCACAGGGGCAAGCCAGAAGTAAGTATTTTATATCAAATATCATATACATTATCTTGAAATGTATTTAAAAACTATTTAATAAACAAAACGTTAACATTCGTGAATGAACTTTCTCTGTTTTATCTTTACTTTCGTTCAAACTTTAATTTAAATCTATTAACTACAAACTGTTCGCCAACCATAAAGATTTTATATAAGTATCTCAATTTTTGAGACAATTTTGCTGTACCTGAGAAAAAATACATTAGAGTTTTCTAGTCAGTATGACAAACTTCCAATAAAATTATAATAGTCTTAAAGCGTTACTTAACTGTCTGTACGCAGTAAATGTACTTTTTATTCTCACTTGCTTTTAGTTTCAATATTTAGAAGTCATATGGAGTTGTAGTTATTTTTTCATTAGATACAAACTATATCTTTTATCCAAATTCTTTAACTCTTTTAATAAATTTAAACAGACTAAATCTTTTTTTGTAAACGAAGAAAATGGAGCATTTTTTTACTAATCTAAAAAGGGGAAATTGCTTAAACTGGTTATACTAGAGGATAGAAAGGTCTAGATAGTTAGCAATTTTGATCTGATTTTCAATAAGTGTTATATTAATATAATTAAATACTATTTAATATTCTGAACTATTTAGATTGCAAAACTTATACAGATGCTGTTTACTTCACATTCGGATATACTTAATCGCTGAATAGTTCGAATATCAAATTATTAGAATAATATGAAGTACAACTACTGTAGCATATCGTCACCACGTGGTACATAGCAGAGTACTCTTTACTTGTTTGAAAATGTTGTCTTCAAAGAAATAAAATCTTTTACTTTTCATTAAGAATTAACAGAAAAGTATTAAATTTAAAATAAACATTTATTCAGTAAATTATGTAAAATTAACGCAATAAGGAGTACATAAATTCCTTGCTAATTTCTTGACTTTTGTTCGTTTCAACAGTATCAGGTTCCGCCATTGGAAACTTTGGCGTTCAAAATACTTTGCTTGCGTTAATAAACATAAATAAAACATCTTCTGGCTGCTAAGCGATTGTTTATTAACTTCCTTGAAAAACAAAACTATAAAATTCCTACAACTCCCTCACATCGAATTGAAAACTCCTTGAAAAAGACACAATACCTTCAGCGCATAAAATAGCAATTCTGTATCTTCTATTGCTCTTGCTTTTGCTGTTGCTGTTGCTGTTGCTAGTGTCGCTATTGATGCAATTTGTGTTGTAGTTTTTTCATAAATTATCTTAAGGATGCAATGACTTTTCCTATTGTCACTCAATTATTATGTATCTGACATAATTTCAATAGTACAAACGCAAGACGCAAAAACAAACGTTATGATGATGTTTTTCACACATGTCTTGACTCCATTTTATTTACTATTTTTGTACATTTTTATTATTTCTTTAATAGTTAAATAGTTAGCTAAGAAAAACTAACCTGAAAATTACTCTACAAAACAAAATATCATATATATACATAACAAGAAGGTTTTAAATTAAACGATTATTCGAATATTGATAAGGGCTATAATAGTAGTATAATAGTAATAACGATCAAAAAGATAGCCGTAAAAGCAAAATAGAAAAGAATCTATCACTTGACTATCCTTATTGGTTACTTCTCTTTTCAATATTATTAATTATATGCGAAGAATTTTATTATACACCTTATTTTAAAATAACAGAAACTTACTAAGTCTTAGTGCCCAGTTGTCGAATGCTGCAAATATAGGCAACCCAATACCGGATATTGCTCCATTAGCATTACCGTTGCTAGTTCATTTTAAGCTACCTGTAATTTAACTAAGTTCAGAGCTACTCGTATTTAGACTAAAAAACTGCTTAGGACGTGTGCGAGTCTTGTAGTTGTCCCGAATCAGCTGTTCAAATTATCCTTGACTTCGAAAGACGCGTACAGTGAAAGGAGTTTCTTACTAATAATAAAATGTCAGCAAATTAAATTAATATTAATATGCTCTCTTGTCGTTTTATTAAATTATAAAAACAAAATTCTGAAACTATTTGGAAAACTGTAGGGATTCATTTGAAATTTATTTTGCTCTTTGAAACTGTGTTATCGAATTTTTATGCTTATCGATATGTTAAAACAAAATGATTTATATTAAGTATAACTTGTATTTTTTTAACTTCACTGTTGTTTTAAGCAAAGTTATATATTTACCTTTTCATTTAAATTCAAATTAAATTCATATTTACACTCCTGAGCCACTTAACAAAACAGATGAACAAAACAGGCAATTTGCCGTTTATTACATCTGGCACGGTCCTTCTCATACAGGAGCATGTAGCACTTTCGGTTTCGAATAAAAAGGTTTAAACCTTAATTCCCACCGTTGTGGCTACTTTTAGTCATTTCTAGTTTTTTCATTCGAAACCAATGAAAATAAACTCATAAAAAATGCTCAAAAGACAGTGCTTTATATCAAAACTCTCCAGAGTATTTAATGAAAAACATCTAAGGGAATGTACTTGGCCTAAAAAAAAAATAGAACATTCAGTCAATGAACAAATATGCGGATACGAATAAAAATATTTCCTTGTTTTTTTTATTGTAACCACATACAAAAAACATACGCAATATAAATTATCTGTGATGTCACAGATTCAAGTGTTTTCCAATAACTTTTAATATGAATATATTTAAATATTCACTGCAAATCTGACTCTAAGAACAAGTATAAGTGAGTTATCAGATCAAATGAATTTGCTATGGCCCACATTTTAATTGCACGTTTCAGTTTAAGATTGGATCTTTTTTCATATAAGTATCTTCTCAATTCATTGAACTGAACTTAAATTTCTAAATTGGGCTGTTGATAATTAAATTGTTATAGATCGATAACTCTTCCGTTCCATGCGAAACCTACCATCTACCGTCATTGCGAACATCGAAATTACTACAGAAATTATAGACGACTCTTGGATGACAATAATGAATAGTTAAAAGATTTTTATTTAGCCAAAAAAATATATATATGTATATATATCTTTACAAATATTGTAAATTCTTTAAATGAGAAAAAACAAGAAAGTATAACTATTTTTATAGACTCCTACTGCGTAAAGTGTCCGGCTTTAATATCGAAATAGAAAACTCAGATATTTTTTTAAGTCAATGCCTATTAAACCACCGTTAGTTCTTTTTTGCAATATATATTGTTGAATATCCATGAATATGCAAATACCAGATCCTTCTTCAGAAGCTTTATCATAAAATATTGTGGATATATTTATATATATATATGTGATTTTTTGTTTTTAAATTTTCAGAAGGTTGTAACGCTTTTGGGCATGCCTGTTATGGAGGGCACGGCAAACGTTCTTTGGGTTTTATAGGAAATAATGGCAATAATGGAAACACTAATGGCAACGAAAATGGAAATTTCAATGCAGATATAAATTTGAATACACTTGAGGATGCCCGTGCAGACAGCGCCGTTTTTCGGGCTCTCTCAAATGAGCCTTCCATATTTTCAGAAAATGAGCTTAACACAATTCCAAGATATCATTTGATTAAAATTCTTAAACCTCAAGTAAGTAATAATTCATTTACATTGTAAAAATTATATGTTAAATATATTCAACTTTATTTTTCTCGTTTTAGTATGGAAGTCGTTCGAAATTGTCGCAACGATTGAACGAAATTGATTATCCCATGTCCGGAGAAGTTTATAACCGAGACAACGCTTTCAATTAAATCTTATCGTTTAGATAAGTTAACGTCTATTAAATAGCTAAATATCAATTTTTCCGCAATTAAAAAAAATCTGTATATACACGTTCATGCTGCATGCGCCAGACAACTTTATTAAATACTGAAAATGCATATCAAAACTAGAAGTAATCGTTTTTTTACTTAACACGGAGAACTGAAATTTTTAGGGCTGGAAATTTCAGATTTTCATGTAAAAAGTGCACGTACACATTGTATAAAAATAAAACTATATATTATTATTTTTGAAACATAAACGCTTGAATTTTCTTATTTTATTGTTATTTTATTAACAACATTTCAATAAATAAATATTTATTATTATCACATACTTAAAATAAAGGATTAAAAGTTGCTTCTTCAAAAATGGAGTTTTTATGCTTTTAAGAAATTGTCTTGCACAAATTATTATAATTATATATGAGACCATTGTGTTATCAGTGGAGAACAGATTTATAGAAATGTTTGAAGCTGTAATATACCAGAGTAAAACCCTTCATCTGGACACCGTTGGACAATAAAATAATAAATGTTCAACCATTTCTTGTTACCCCGCCTCAGGAAAAATGAGGATATCTGTATATAGGTGTAATATAGACATAAAACCCTTTGTATTTCGAAAAAATTGATCGAATTATTAGAATTTTGTGAATAAGCCGGAACCTCATCTTAGATTTAGAAAACCCATAAGTAGGTCTTTAATTAAATTTAAAAAAACCCAAAAAGTGAAGTTTTTGACAATCGCTAAGCTTAAGAAAGAATTTAATCGATTAAAGGCAACAACAAATTTGATGATTAATTTGATCGACTGCTGTTGGCAAGTTACAGGTCAAATGAGATGTAACGACCAAATGACATTTCAAATAAATGGGTGCGTAGACTCTGTTTAATTTTATTTTTTAACAATCCAACAACTTTTTTTAAACATATTTATATTCAAATAAATGAAGATTATCTAGTAAGCTAGTACAAGAGATTTAATACGGTGGCAGTACTTACAGAGTCCTGTAATATTTTATTTTGTTCAATTTTTTTCTATTATATTCTACTTATTATATTTCAATCATTTTTATTAAGCTAAATTTGAAAAATAGATGAAAGAGTAGGCAGTAGCATATTCTACTATCGAATCACTTCAGTGCCTTTCAGGCAGAAGTAATGGCTATTCTTAGATACTCAGATAGAGATAAAAATACCAGTCAGATTGCAAGAACGACCTTGTCCGAACTAAACAAAAAAGGTACCATTCAGCTGCTTCAACTAAAACGGAACTTGCTAGGGTATTATAGCTGACTGTTCACTACATACTACATACTCTCAAATGACAATTTTTATGGTTATGGATCTGAAAAAGAAGAGGAATGAGTGTTTCACCTTTGTCAATGCCTATCTTTGGCCAATAGAAGATTAAGAATATTTAGAGTACTTTATCTTTTTGACTGCAAAATTAAGTACTTAGCCAATTTTATAGACTTATCAGGTTGAATCATTTCCTTCTGAAAGGAGAGGAGAGAAGAGCCTATACGTAATTGTCTATACGGTAAACACTGTGCCCCTTTTGGAAATACTTCTTGTCTATATATATATGATTAACGCTAATCTGTAGTAGTAGCACAACGGCCAACCTAACATAACCAACTTTTTAAAGTTAATTGGTGACCTAATAGGTAAATGCAATGTCAACCCTTCTGAACGTCTTTACTTTTTTAATATCGTTAAATCAATAATTTCTTTTAGAACTTTTTAACTTTAGTCTGCTGGAGGTGGTTTGCCATCCACTTCATAAGCCTCACCATTTAAATCAGAAAAGAACATGCCTACATCTGAAAAGTGAAGAGTATTTTGTTTATTTCAGTTTATGATTTATAAGCAATGCATCTAAAAAATTATTACAATTCTTTTTAATGTGAGACACCCAGTGACTTAATCAGCTGATCAGAATGACGTTACAACACGCGGTGAGTTGCACCAAACAACGTTGTTTAAAGTCAAGTAGTAAACAAAATAAAAATTCTGCAAATAAAAAATCACTTTTGTAATGACGAATATGGACTCTGAGACAAGTATTGGCAATGAGAGAAGTGCTAGCAAAATATTTCGTCAAAATCGAAGCATCGGCTACGTTAGCAATCATATTGGCGCAGTAACACGCTACGTTGTGAGACGAAGTGACAACTTGATTGCTACCTGCATTGGCCGAACTTTTCAAGTCTATACTGCGAGCCATTTTCGCTTGCTGCACGTAAGCCCGATACATGCTGACGACATTACTGCACTAGCGATAGACCTCACCTATATATATACGGCTTCAGATAAGTGCATTTATGCTTGGCGATCTGGTAAACATAGACGCCATGTCTACAAAGGAACAAGCAATGTGTGGCTTATATTGCCACTTGGTGGTTTCTTGGTGACAGTGGATGAAGCAAACGTTTTAAAAGTATGGAATGTTGTCTCAGAAAATGTATACTTTGAAATCCCGTTCAACAAAAGCGAGTTCCTAATTACAGCAGTAACTCACCCACCTACTTATGTGAATAAAGTACTAATTGGGTCAGAACAGGGCATAATTAAATTATGGAACTTGAAAGAAAATCGTCTGATTTATACATTTTCTGCGCGTAAGTGTGCTATAACCTGTTTGGAAGCATCTCCGGCTTTGGATGTTGTTGCTATTGGGTACCATAACGGTTGTATTGTGTTATTGAATCTTAAATACGACGAAATTCTTATGGAATTTAAACAAGATTGGGGGATGGTATCAAAGATCAGTTTTCGGACCGATGGTCCACCAATTATGGTTTCATCAAGTGCTACTGGTAATGTTGCGTTTTGGAATTTAGAAGAACGAAAGGTAAATATTATAACATACTGCAAAATACATAAGCAAAAATTATATTTTGTGCTCCTATACACATATTTCAAATTTCCCTGATTAATATCCAAATCACAGGTTGCTAGTCAATTAAAAGTTCACGAAGGAAAAGTTACAACAACTATATGTTTTCCTAATGAACCTTTACTTCTTACCACATCCCCAGACAATTCTATGAAGCTATGGATTTTTGATATGTCGGACGGTGGCGCGCGCCTATTACGGATTCGCGAAGGACACACTAAACCTCCATTATGCATTCGATACTATGGCAATAGTGGTTCGTCTATATTATCATCTGGTGAAGATAGCTCGTTACGTATATTTAGCACAATTTCGGAAACTTTTAATAAAAGCATGGGCAAAGCCAGTTATAATCGTAAAGCTTCTAAAAAAAAGAGTAAGTTTTTTTATCTTCTCTTTAGTTACACAGTAGTGCATTGTTATCGATTTATACAATAGATAGATTTCAAAAGGACTGGCTTCGCATGCCTCCAATCGTACAATTTACAACAGAAACAACGCGTGAGAAGGAATGGGACAGTATAGCAGCAATACATAGTGGCATTATTCAGACCACCACTTGGTCTTTTCACAGATGCTGTATGGGGGAACACCGCTTAATACCTACTAAGTTTGAAAACAGAAACCGCACAGACTTAAATGCCGAAACGACAAGCATAACATTGTCCAGTTGTGGAAACTTCGCCATAATAGGTATTTAGTATTTTTAATGTATGTGATAAATATTTTGACGTGTTCTCATATTATGTACCAGGATATTCTACTGGTGATTTAGAACGCTTTAACATACAGTCAGGTATACACAGATGTAGTTATGGTGCACCTGCTCACGAAAGCTCTGTAAGAGGTGTAGCTAGCGACAATTTAAATCAATTTGTTACTTCAGGTTGTGGGGCTGGTTTACTGAAATTCTGGCCCTTCAAAGGCAATGGTATAGTTGAATTAATAACTCCGATATTTGATTGTCTTTTAATATCAAAAATTTACTTTTAGTTACAAGTCCAACTCTAACACTTAAATTCAGTGACGGCATTGATCTTTTGCGTTCCCATCGCGAAAGTGGCATGATTGCCATAGCATTAGTCAATTTCATTGTTTACATAGTCGATACTGATACAAAAGTCATTATCAGAAAGTTTGAGGGACACATAACCAAAATAAACGACATTTGCTTTAGCCCAGATAGTCGTTGGCTTATAACAGCGTCTATGGATGCGACTATTAAAGTATGGGACATTCCTTCGACTTATATGATCGATCATTTCAGAACTGAACGCCCATGTGTTTCCTTGACTATGTCTCCTACTGGTGATTTTCTTGCAACCGCCCACGTAAACTATTTGGGTATTTATTTATGGGCAAACAGGACGCTTTTTAATCAACTCTCATTGCGTTCTATAAATCCATACGAAAAAGCTCCTTTGGTAGGATTACCATCAAATGCGTATGACGATATAGTTTTAAACCAAGCAGTCCAAGAAATGTCTTTGGATGCTTATGAAGACGAAGGCGAAGAAATTGAATTTAAATACGAGACTCAAACGCAACTTTCAAAAGAACTTATAACTTTGTCTGGTGTAGCAGCATCTCGTTGGCAAAACCTCCTCGATTTGGATATAATTAAAAAACGAAACAAACCGAAGTCGGCGCCAAAAATTCCGAAACAAGCACCATTTTTTTTGCCCACTATTGCTGGTCCAGAAATGAAGTTTGACCTTACAGCAACTGTAAATGAAGCCAATGTACACTCGAAAATTTTGAACACTTCACCACTAAATAATATGACAACTTTAGCTAAACTTTTGGAAGAAACTGAAACAGCAAATAATTATGAACCACCAATCAACTATTTAAAAAAACTGGGTCCGTCAATGGTGGATTATGAAATAAAATCTCTACACCCCTTAAGTGCATCTATAGCTGCTATGGTTCAGTTCTTGAAGACTATAGAGTACACATTTTCAACAAATAAAGATTTCGAACTGGCACAATCGTACCTGAGTGTATTTTTACGCGCACATGGCAGTACCTTAATAGAATTGCCAGAAGTTGTTCAAACACTTAAAAGCGTCTCAGTGGCTCAAGAGACATGTTGGAATAGAATTGAAAAGAAGTTAAGTTACGGAATAGGCGTGGTAGCCGCTTTAAGAAATTATGTTAAATAAGTTTTAAATATTAAATAAAAAAAACAATGTACTCTAAGGTGAGTCACCCACATTAAAATGAATTTTTTTTCATTATCACTTGCTGAAAATTTGTTATCAGTTTCAAATAGTGACTGCTAGAAAATTTTCTAATTAAAAAATGCAAGTCACGAAACACATCACTGAAAAATATATTAGAATATCTTTAAAAAAAAAATATTTTAGTATATAAATCGCACAAAAATATGCACTTTGCTTCCCCAATACAGCATCTAGACGTAGACTAATAACAATTAATTAATCAACCTTATTTATTGACATTGTTTTTTTTGCTAGTGTTAATTATAGTCCCTTCCTCTTAGTAATCTCGCTTGTAGAACAAATTACTTTACTACTTAATTGTTTTATCTTTATTAACAGTCGTAACTTGCGTTGCTATACTGACTTAAGTCTTCAACATTGCTGACTTAATTTTTACTTAACGTCAGTTTTAGAACTTTGGTTACTGTAAAATCCCTACCTCGTTGGAGTAATTTTAATTTCTTTATAAACTTCCTTTGCAATCAACCACAAACTTAATGATGTTATCTTTTTGCTGTAATTGAAGAAAAAAAAATGCTATTTTTATTACCTTTTAACGAACCATTTACGTTTTCAAAATATGTGTATTTAATTTTAATTTTAGTTGTGTTCATTAATGCATAATATATAAACTAGTTGCTTCGATTTTCTCTAAAAAAAAACATTTTACTTATTGTTTTGCGTTTAACAAGAATAATAAATAAAGACCAAAATGTTTTAGAATTCAAATAGCGTAAACTGTTTTTGTACTGCAGTACAAAGTTGCCGGTGTTGTAAATATTGAATATAAGTATTTTAATGAAGTTATTTTAGGATAATCGTTAGTTCTTATTTGAGATGTTATTCAAAATATGTTTGCGCTTAGGCTGATGTGCACTGCTGTATTCTGGGCCCTTCTTCATAACGTTCATCTTCCTCGTAAGCCATACGCTGTTGCTGCCGACGTTGTTTAGGATCAAAGTCCTCCTGAAAAGTCATTTGCAATAGTTAAGAAATACTAAATTTAAAATGTAAACTCAAACTTACCAAATTGACAGCCTCAGCATCAATTGGAATGGTTACTTCTGGTCTTGGTGGCAAGCACTTTTCTAGAGCTGGAATCACTGATACCGGCATAGTTTCAGGGAAAACGACTTCAAATTGAATAAGCAAACGACCTTTTTCTAATGGGTTCTTAAACATTGGCATGCCTTCCTCCATTATACATTTTGTCATTTCGTGTTTGATGACATCACCTGGCATTGATGTAACAATCAAATCCCGATCATCTAAAGTTTTGATCACTCGTTGGAAACCACACAAGGCCTCTACAAGCTGAATCGGCATTTTTAACATTAAATCTGTTCCAACATGCATGTATGAAGAATGTTCCTTTTCATCTAACACAATTATTATATCACCAGGCTGCGAATTCGGTTCATGATCCCCTTCGCCATTAAATATTATTTTTTGCCCATCCTTCATACCCTTTTCTATATGAACTTCCAAGACCTTACGTTCTCTTACTGTTTTGCGCCCATTACAATTTTTGCAACGATCTTTTTCAGATATATTTTCACCAGTACCCATACATTTGCGACAGACCTGTTCGACATGTTGCACAAGACCTGGTCCTATCTGCTGGACGCGTGTTTCTACACCATTACCACGACATTGTATACATTTCTCTATAGAACCCTTCTTTCCACCTCTACCTTCACATTTGTCACAAATTACGTTCTTTTGTAAAGCCAGTTTTCTCGTAGCTCCATTATACAATTCTTCCAACTGAACAGACATTTGATGAACTACATCTTTACCACGACGTTCACGCCTTCGGCCACCACCACCAAAACCGGCTCCGAAGAACTTTTCAAAGAAGTCCATAGGACTTCTGAAATCTCCACCATCAGCTCCACCTTTCTTAATGGCCGCTTCGCCACCTTCATCATAGATCTGCCTTTTATCTGGATCAGAGAGCACTTCATAAGCTTGTGAAATTGCTTTGAACTTTTCACCTTCATTAGGATTTTTATCGGGATGATATTTCAACGCCATCTTCTTATATGCTTTTTTGAGTTCTTCCGAGTTCGCATTCGGTTTTACACCAAGCAAATCGTAGTAAGCAGTTTCTTTTACCATTTTCGCAGATTACGACGCCTCGTTAAAATTGTAGAAATATATAATCTAAAGGAATAATCAAATCTATATAGAAGATATTTTAATGTATTATAAAGAAATAAAAATTTTATTGAAATTTGAAACAACACTTTAAAGCGATTCAATTTTAATTTTGTTGAAATTTAAAAAATTAAAAAATTATCGTTGCTAAGTTAACGTAAAAAAAAAGATATTTTTTTTAATTGTAAATATCGAAGTCTTCATACATGCACTAAAATACAACCTTGTATTGCTAAGTACACTGATGCAAAGCATAGAAACACAAATGCGGAAAATACATATACTATACATACATTTGCTTGTATATCAGGTATATATGTATGTTATGTACCGATGACAAAGGTTTTCTATTTAATTCCACATCCAAAAAAAACTACATAGATTATAAAATTAAACAAATTCAAAGTTCTGCTATTTAAAATTGTTAAATTATTCATTTACAATATAATATTTAATCACAAATCTCACTTGAGCAATTATCGATTTTTTTTTCGAATCAGCGTTCCAGCTACAAAAGCAAGAGCAGATGTCAATTTTTCTAAATACGAATATTCGGGAAATTGTTTTTGCTAATTTTTTTTCTTTGCACTTGAACTTAGTCTATGCTCTTTCCTTTGTTTTTTGCTTGCTCATTACATAAATCAAATTCAAAAAATACACATTTCTACTTTCCGTGTTAGTTTCTAAGATAGAATATGAATTTTATTTTAATTACCTTTTAAAATCTAAAATTGGAAAACAATATTGCCGTATCGAAGTATTAAAACTTGAAATAATTACTTGCAAAAAAAATTGAATATACAAGAACTTTAAAATTAATCCACTTGTATTTAAGTATTTTTACAAATTTTAACGCACGAAAGAAACGTGGCCTGCCAGTAGAAATTTTATAATGCGATTGAAAGAAAAGTAAAAAGATGAAGGCGTTTGAAATTTCTAGAATGGAACATGTGTGTCGATAACACATGCTATCATATGAACTGCCTTACCAAACTCCATATACACTAGATGTGACTTAGGCAATTATGCCAAATTTTTCAATTTTATCAAAGTGCTAGCATCAGTGTATACAAATAGCAATTCATTAATTAAAAAATCAAAAGCTTTTACTATATCGTCAATCTGCTGCATATATTTTCCCATTATATTTAAGACGTGTGCGAGTTAGGCTAAGTTGATGCTAAACCAAATGGTAGATTTTTTAAGATTTTTTGCACTGCACACATTTAGGTCGTTTGCGAGGTAGGCTAAGTTGCGTTCTAAATAAGGGAAATTTAAAGTTGTGTCGATAATGTAGTGATGTGTAGATACATGTCGATAAATGGATAAATGTGTGCAGAGTAAAGAATCCCAAAAAATCTCCCATTTGGTTTAGCATCAACTTAGCCTAACTCGCATACGTCCTAAACATCTTATAAAATTTTCACAATGGTAACACCTAATTTTTATCTTACTTACCCTACTCGAAATTTTAGTAAATGCCAACATTCCCCGCCATACCGATATAATTTACTATTACTCTCAATTTACCATCAATTTACTCGAATTCACACACGGCCATTATAGTCACTTCAGTCTTAAAAATGACGTTAAATTACAACTTATGTTTACAAAATATTGTTCTCACCCGTAAGAATGGTGGAGTAACATTAGCATGACTATCTCAGTACTAGGAAGATGAATATATCATGAAACATAACACGTGCTGTTATAAGAATTGTAAGATCCTATTTATAAGCACATTAAAAACAACACATATTTTAAAATTATTCTTTACTAAGTTTACCTCGATTGACCACGCTAACGTATTTAAAAGAGAATAGCAAAAGGTTCAGAACTAAAAATAACATATTATTTAGGACGTGTGCGAGTTAGGCTAAATGGATGCTAAACCAAATGGAAGATTTTTTAGGATTTTTGCACTGCACACATTTAGCTATTTATCAACATGTATCGACACATCACTACATTATCGGCACAATTTTGAATTTCCCTCATTTAGGTCGTGTGCGAGTTAGGCTAAGTTGATGCTAAACCAAATGGGAGATTTTTTGGGATTCTTTACTCTGCACACATTTATCCATTTATCAACACGTATCGACACATCACTACATTATCGGCTCATCTTAGAATTTCCCTTATTTAGAACGCAACTTAGCCTAACTCGCACACGTCCTTAGAACGCAACTTAGCCTAACTCGTACACGACCTTAATATCAAAAAAAGCAAAAATTAAATTCTATTAAATCAAGTAATATCAATAATAAACATTTTTTGGAATCGAAGAACAGCTACAAAAATGTATAATATATGTTTTGGAATGTTATGTCTAGTTCAAAATGCAAAAACTGTTTTATACCATTTCATACGCTAACGTATTCCAGAACTGAATTATTACTGGCAATGCCTTAACTTTTAGTTAATATCTATTGGTTATTTAATAAATGAAAATACAATTCAATAAAAATAAGTGAATAAATAATAGTTAATAAATATGAAGCATGCAAGATTTATTGCAAGAACAGTACTTGTTCAAAACAATAATGTTGAAGAAGCATGTCGCTTATTAAATAGAATTCTAGGAAAGGAGGAAATATTTGATCAATTTAGGCGCACAAGGTATTATGAAAAACCCTTTCAGGTAAGAACTATTTATAATATTTGTTAAATATGTAATTAAACGAATTATTTTGGTTATAGGTGCGTCGACGTATAAATTTTGAAAAATGCAAAGCTATTTACAATGAGGACATGAATCGAAAAATTGCATTTGTATTAAGGAAAAACAGAGTTGAGCCGTTTCCCGGTTGTAGCTGAATTATGTATCAAAAAATTATTTGTAACTTAATAAACTAAATTAATATATTCCTTTTTAATGTTGTCTGTTTTATTTTTACATTCATTGTTATATACATACATATGTATGGTTTTGTATGTTATTTTTTTATCGTATTTGATGGGAGAAGTCAACGTTGTTATTTTTACAATTTGAGAAAATGTTTAAATAACAAATAAATAGCCCGAAATCAACTGCACACTAATATTTGTAATAATATTTTATCAAAATATTTTATTTTAAAGTATTTATACCTAATTTTTTAATGTGTCAGAAGGAACAGCTGATTTCGATTCAACAAACAACATTTAATAATAAGAACTGTCGCCGCTTATATATCAACAACACTAAAGTTAAAATAAATGTTTTGAGTATTATTTTACAAACATCCGTTGAAAATTAAATAAAATGAATACTGATAATTGCATTGATATTGATCAAAATATAGCAAACAAACTTTTCGAAGTTGGCGCTTTCCTAATCATAGCAGGAGTTCCAGTTGGTACTGAATTCGGCGTCGACTTATGTTCCTACACAATCGGTGAAAACTTCCGAGGAATAAAACTAATACCTCCAGGACCACATTACGTCTGGTGCTCATCACAGGGACAATTCGGTGATGCTGCCCCACGTGTTGGATTTATACATTATTTTAAAAGTAAAGAAATACTTGTGCGTGAATGGAACAGACAGGAGGAAGAATTACAAGAACGCCAAATTGAAGACCCAAATACCGAAAAAGCACATATCCGTGAGAATATAAAGTCTTTGGACCGTTTTTTGGCACCATATGATTATCGTTTCTTAAATAAATGGAAAAGCTTAACAAATCTTGTAAACGAAGGTACACTTTCACGTTGCACTCCTGCATCAGGCATTATTCGCACAAATGTAAGTCTTTCATCTTGTCCTGACGCTGAGAGGCCACGTGGCCCTATCAAAAGTATTAAGATGTTAAATGTAAAGACAATTTTAAATGAAAATGATTTATTGCCTAATTTAAAGCCTCTTAGTGGCACTATGCCAATCTTTATACATTTACCCAATCGCGTACCTCAAAACGCTACTCCGGAAGAAGTCACCCGTCATAGTATAGATTGTATTGCAGCAATTGATGATTTGTTTAATAGTATTTCAAGCTTTCACATTTTATTGGAAGAAATTCAGCTGTGCTTTGTTTTCTATTTGATTGGTCATTCTATTGAGTCATTGGACCACTGGCGACGCGTCATACACTTGTTCTCTTACTCCGAAACTGCAACTACTAAATATAAATTATTTTACAAGCAATATAGTGAGCTTCTTGCCCTAGAAATACCGTATTTACCGGAGGAGTTGATGGAACCTACTAACCGCAACACCATTTATAAAGACATAAGAGTCTTGCTTAAACATTTACATAGTGCAAATTTAAGTCTTAGTGCAGAACATTTATCAACGAAATTGTATAAAGAATTGAAATGGGATTTCCGAGACTTACTGATTGATGATCCAGAAGATTTACCTGTTGTCGTCGAATTGGATTAGGCAGATAATATTTACAAATGTAATTCAATTAGGAAAATAGCTTTAAAAGTTATATTTATTATAATTAAACAAACTGAACAATCAAAATGTTTTATTTTTCCTTTTTGTCTTCAGTTACTACCACATCTTCATTAATCTCGGGGCTGGTTATTGATGATGATTCTTTGTTCGGGGCTGCAACATTTTTCTCTTCTTCATTTTCTTTATTTAATTCCACAGAGTATTGAGCCGCAAGCTCCTCTAATCGTTTTTGATTATTTTGCAGATATCCCGGCAACCAAAATATTGTTTGCACCATTCTGAACAGTAATGATTATAATGCTTATAATTAAATTTACAAATTGGGCTTACTTTATCAAAATGTAACCGAAAAATGCCAGCAACAGACATGTTGCTGACGTCTTAAACATATACCAATAATCGACAACAACTTGCTCGTGCTTCATTGCTGAAGAAAATATCTATTTTCCTAGAAAACGATTGAAGGATCACTTATGAAAAGAAAACAAAATCCTTACATCAACTAAACTGGCAAACAGTACAAAAAGTCGTTTAATAGAATAGAATAGAATATTAAGGAATATTTTCATGTTTTTTATGTTATGGTTAAATGATAAATGTAACTGTGGTAACAGGACTCATTAAAAATTAATTTGTATGTTATTAGTTAAAAATATAAGGGAATCAATAAAATTGTAATAATTGTAATACGCCGCCTGAATTGGATAATAAATACATACATATGTACGTCTAGTATGATTTATCCGTACGTCGTGATAGAAAAATAGTAGAATGAAATAAAGAGAAGACCATTATTTGGGGTTCATACTGTCTCACACAAGTTATAAGTCTCACAAATTCCTGTATTATGTACACCGTTATGAAAAAATTTTCTCAATGCATAATTATAGATTTAATTTTTAAAAACATATCATTTTAATTAGGTCAAAAATAGAAACGTAAGATTTTTATGAACATCAGTCGGTTGCTGGGATAACGAAACAATATAGTCCGTGCTGAACAATTTTTTCTCAATTATAATATTTAAGCATTTATAACGTTTTAATTCAAAGAATAGATACCGAGTAAAGTATTTACATATTAATTAATGTTATGCTCATGTAAACATTAACAGCGTCTCAATCTGCCACACAATGTAGGGAATAGGTAATGAGGTGAAATGAAAGGAGGATCGATACTAAAATCTGGCCGATACTAAAATTTAAAAAATCGCTGAGAGAATAAAAAAATGGAGCGCTCTAAATCTTAATAATTGATTCACAGGAGAGTGTTGTTTATAATTTTAGATGTCATGTTTGTTATTTTAGCTGTCAATTGTTAGTACTTTCAATGCAAAATCAAAATTTTCGACAACTTAAATTACAAACAAAACTCAAGTGTGAATCCAAAATAAGATATAGAAAATAACCTCGATAAATAAAACTCTAAGTTAGCATTTATATTAATAAGCTTAAGTTGTTTAAAAAACAGCCTGCGTTTAAAAAACTTCACAACAAAACCAGAAAAACTCAAATTTATTATTTATTTATTGTTACAAAAATAGCAACCAGTTGTACTCAGGGGCCTAAAATAAAAGTTATTTCAAGAATTTTTAAGAAAAAAAGCAGGAGCAAAAAGTTATCTAGACTCATATTTAAGTATATAGTTATCATTCTAAGAACTTTTCTTGTTAATATTATGCATGCTTTTTATATGTGAGCGTTTTAAAATAAAACTCAAAAAATAATAAATTCGCTTTATATTATATTCATTAAAAATAAGTCTTACATTTAGCTTTTTGTTTGAAATCGAACAAATAACTGTTATTTTTGCCTTATAAAAATAAAAATATAGAATAACTCTTAGAATCACTCTTATTTTTGAAAATAAAGTATAATTCGCACTGGCTTGCCGAATATTTTTAAAAACAAAAATATCAAATGAATTTTTCATGTAAGTTAGTTGTTTTTGTCATTTCATACAAAATGTATTTAAAGATTGGTGCACGTAAAAGATTCTTGACTTCTGTTTTTATTTTTTCAATGAGAACTGTTACGGTCCCTGGTTGTACATTTTATTCTTACATAAAAGCCTTTTTTACTCATATATTATTATCTTTGATATGGCAATACCTTACCTTCATAGTGCTCATCATCGTACACATACATCGTAGTGTATAACTCTGAGTACGCTTTTTGTGCATACGTACTCTTACACGTTTTTTTTTGCGTACTTTTTTTATTTGTTGGAAAATTAATAAATGTACCCACAGAAAGGTATCGTCTAAAAGTTGGCGCTTGAAACATTATTCTAATCCCTTTTTTTAAAAACACTTAGCAAGGGCAAAAAGGAGGATGTTAAGGGAACCAAGGAAGTGGAATGACGATCTTGTCACTAAAATGCTTGACTATGTAGAAGAGAAAGGAAATTTTGAAGTAAATAGGAATATCTATTCAGATAGGAAGTTAAAAATAATGTAGGCTTTAATTGCAGATGCCGACTGCTCAACTTTATTACAAGGAAATGTTAGAAAATATAGGTGAAAGTATTCCCTGGGATTTAATGAAATTTAAAATGCGCCATTTAAGATTAAGACTACAAAAAACGGAGCACTGGCGTAACACGATTGGCTTACAGATTAAGAAAGAGAGAGGAGATAAAACAGTTAGGGGTGAGTTAAAAATAGAACTTAAATGGAGAATCGAATTTAATAGACTTTCTTATTACTACAGAACACATTTTAAAAATATGCCCTCACTATGACAGATTGTTACAAATGTTTGGGAACGGCGATGAAATTGTTGGAAAGAGGGCTAGAAAATTGCTCTTATCATCTATAAAACCTGAAGAAGAGGAAAGAGCAGAAGCAACACCTGACTTAAAAATTATGAACGTAGAAGAAAGCTATGAAGTACCTCACCCAAGTCCTAAACAAATTGAATTTCTAACTACATCTGACATAGAAATTACAAATATAGAAGAAAGCTATCGGCAATGTAGTTCAGATACTAAACTAACTGATTTACACGAAATGAAGGAACTATTAAAACAAGAAAGACTTAAACCTGAAACAGAAAATTTTGAAATGCAGTATGATTTGGAAATAAAAAAACTAAAGTTGGACGAGGAGAGAATATTACTAACAACCAAAACGGAAAACAGGAAGTTAGATTTAGAAGAAAGAAAACTACACTTAGAAGAGAGAAGATTAGAAAAAGAGTTCGAGTTAAAAAAAATGGAACTAGAAATGAAGGAAAGATTGGCTAAAATCGAATTGGAGTTAAAATATAAAAAAGCACATTGTTAAATATTATTTGTCAATTTTCTATATACATATATGTATATTGTTCTTCGATTCAGTTTTAATTTTCTCTAGGGAGACAAAATTAAAAAAAGTTTAAGAATCTTAAATTGAAAAATTGAAAAAAACGTTTTAATAGAGTTTAAACTTAATGTACAATATTACAAAAACTATAAAAAAAGATCATTAACTTATGTGCTACTTCAGAGACAATAATAAAAAAATGTTCAACATATTATTATTATTATGTTGAGGCTAGTTGAATCAGAGCACTTGAGCAGTTTTACTCTCTATTAACTGCGAGGTTTCTTCATAACCCCTCTCTATCTCTTCATCAGGCTGCGCAATAATTTACCTCAGATCTGCATACCTCCCCGGGAAGCCTGTAACCATTCTGAGATTCGATAACGCGGTGTTGGTAAGCCTGTCTAATGCTCTACCCTTTATGTATTTTTTTTGTTTTTGGATTGGATCAATGTTGAGGTTGCTGAGAATGTCATTCGTCCTAATGTACCATGGTACCTTGAAGAGTGTTCTCAGAGCCTGACTTTGTGCAATTTCTAGCTGGCGAGTAATAGTGTTTAAGGTGTTGCTAAACGCTACACATCCATGAAAGTGACGGTCGAATTATTTCGTTATATAACAGATTCTGTTTTTAGCATTGAGAGTTTTCAACATATGATTGTTGCATTTTGGCAATGGTAAAAATTGACAATTTTTGGTAGTAAATACATTACAACAAAATTAATTGACACTTAATAAATTTGATACACCGGAAACCACTTTCTGTCAAGAGACTACTCATTCCGATTTTACTGCAGTTTTTCAGGACTAGTAAAATAAAATTTTATCGAAGAACTTAGAATTTTATACCTTGTTGCTTCAGTTTTATTTTAAAATATTTGATTTTACAAATATATACAATTTTCACCAAATGAAACGAATATTTTTATACTTAGTAATACATACAATACACATCTTTCACTCGCTTTTTTATTATTAACATAAATAACCATAGCAGACTTATATAGTAATACATGTTATCTATATATTTACATTTAATCTTGGAACAATAGAACAAATACAATCATATTAGATACTAAGATATTTTATATACTAAGCTTTAGTAAAATATATATATAATTATATACACGTAATAATGTAACTAACTCTATGAAGAAATAACAGTTGAGTATGCAAATTTAATTGATTGATTAGCGAAAACGTGTTTTTCTATGCATAGATTTTTAAAAGCATATTAATACATTTTATATATTTCTATATTTGACTTTGATAAATGCTACTTTAAGTTTACTTGCCACTTAAAGTTTAAATTCACAAGCAAAAATACATAAAACAATATATTGTCAATTAATGAATTTATTAGTATGCACTTATGTATGTTATGTTAATTATATTCATACAAACAGTGCATATGTTGTTAAACGGATAAAAAATTTCTGTACGCAGACTAGCAAATTATGACTAATTCAACTTTTTTTATAAATTTTCAATTCAAATAACAAATTAAATTTTTTTAATTTTACTAAGTAATTAATGTTAACAGCTAAATAGCTAAATATCTATATATATATTTATATAATTGAACTAAACAAGTTATCGAATAACGTATATATAAACTGCTCTAAAACGATATCTATAATTGATGAAATATTTTTAATTTAGATATCTGTCTTCAAAGTTCAATAGAATGATTTTAATTAAATAACTTTTTAAAAGTAGTGTATTATTAGAAAATTAGAATTCAGAAAATCTAACTTAAAATGATTAAGATTCTGAAATCATGCTGATTATGGAAAGTTATTTAGTGGCCCCTACTTTCATTTGAAAGTACAGAATTGTAAAATCTCTGAATCTGCTTTCAGAAATTACAATTTTTATTATCTTTGCTTAACAACAGTTAAATATTAGTAAAAGTTAAAAAGTAATATTTAAATTAAGCAGAATTAAGCAGATATCTGCCTATTCACATTTTAATTCTTCATAATTTTTGTTTTATTAAATAAATGACACTAGTCGATTAACATAGATCAAAACAAAATTGCGAATCTATATTTGATGATAGATCGCAACGATAACAAATTAATAAATAAATGATCTTATACAATAACATTGCAATGAGGAGGCAATAGAGATAATACCTATATATGTTGAAATAAAACGTTAATAATAGCACAAAGCAAATACATTTTTTAATTAGAAATTTGGAATGTCTTGTTTACAGAAAGTTGCTCTTTAATGTGCACTAATTTAACATTTGAATTTAGTAACTAAATAATAACTATATAACAAAATAATCACTGGATGTTTACTATGTATGTAGATTCTCTAGCTTAAACTACTAACGATAATTTTTAAAATATATAATAATATATGTACATACGCATATTATGTATTACAAATATAAACGAATCTCAGTTAAGTATACAATTTGGAATTTGATTAGTTATTTTGCAGGTTTGCAGGTTTGTAGATATTGTTGAAAGTGTGCGTTAAAAAGCACTCCAAAATTTAAGTTAATATATCTTTGCATAAAGTCGCGCCAACAGTATTGTTTCTAAGACTATTTTGAGTACGACTATTTTTAGTGATTGACACTTTACAGGACGGTCCGTTTCTGTGTTTTGTGTTGTTATATCTGCTTAATTGTCATTTTTTCATGTTGAAGCTTGGCTTGGGCAATGAATTAATGAAGGTAGTATGAGAGGGCACAGCTGGTGCAATAAAGCCGAAATCAGGTATAAGAGAAATGCTGGGTGCAACTCTTGCACCACCGACTTGAAACTGGTTAATATTATTTGTTGTTGAGCTTTGCACTACGGCACGACTTGGGTGAGTTGTTGGCATTATGGACATATCCTGCATAATGTGAATTTGGGACAGGTGTTGCTGTTGCTGCTGTTGTTGTGGTTGGTATTGATTATACTGATAATTATTTTTATCACTGTAGTTATTATTTTGAAACTTTAACACAGGCGGTAGTTGTGTTTGTAACTGATGTGTAGATTGAGCAGGTTGGGAAAACGTATTGGTTGGTTTTTGATGATAAAAACTTAAAGGATTGTTGTAGAAATTTGCATTTTGCCAAGCTCCACTATTAAACTGCGGTACCTTATTTGTACGGATATGTGTGTTCGTTAATAAGACACCATTGGTCTTGGGAGTACTCGAAACAAAATCTGACCAATCATCATCATTGCTATTCTGGCCATTATTTTCATAATTATTTGACTTTGTGTTAATTCTTGAAGGCTTTCGTGGTGATACATTTATTGCTTCTAATTTGTTATTATTGCTTCCACCTATATAATTGAAATTTACATTGGAGTTTTTTACATTAACTGTTGTTGCGGCAGGTACCGATACAAAATCTGTCCATTCGTCATCATCATTTGCGTTATTTTGTTCTTTCCGAGCTATTGTGGCACTAATGGAAATAAAGTTTTGTTGTGATTTTTCATTATGTGTGTTTAAAGATTTGTGAGGACTACTCATGTCTTTAGTTTTATGAAATTTAGGTTGTGGAAAAAGCTCCTCAATGCGTGCTAACTCTTCAGGATTAATATGGTTAACTGTATCACCCCATTCAATTTTTAGTTTGCTATTTTCCATTGAAATAGCTTGAGGTAATAGTATAGTTGGACTTAATATCATTTCTTCTGTTACCGAAGGAGTACTGGTACGACTAGAAGTGCTACTCTTTATTTTGGTAGCATGTAAACTGCTGGGATTCAGCCCAACTTCTATTGTTGCAGTTGGTGGCACGCATTGAAAATCTGAAAAATCATCATCATAGTCTATACTCTTTGGTTTTTGTAAGTTTGCATCTGGGTTTATTTCACCATCTATATTCTTAAATTCACCCTGTAATATTTGGCAACTAGTTGAAGCTATATTTGATGAATTTCCTAATTTATTGCTTTCAGTAATAATTGAACTAAAGTTAGGATTATATTCAATGTCTCTATACTCTTTTGCAATTACTTTTTCATCAATGACAATACCAGCTGCTGCTTTTTCGTAATCAAAATCAATTGGATCTGGTTTTGTGGTATCACTATTTATAGAACGAATAGTTCTTATCATTGTTGCTTCTCCTTTAGATGGAGTATATATGTGTGTTTCTTTGAGTGGACCAGCGTAAGTGCATGTAGTTACAACTTCATCGTCTTCATTACTATGCTCAGGATAAGAAGTTATACTATTTGTATATGAAATTCTTTCATTCGATTGTAATGAGTGTTCTGCAGATTGAAAAGTATTTACATCAAAGCAATTATGTTTTGAGGCATCGAAGGTACCATTATCGTTTGCAGTTTGTTTCTTTATATTAATGTAAAAGTCATTTTTGTCGAAGGAGTTGCCGACGCTGTCTGTTGAAACATTTGTCGATATCGTTGTTGTTGTTGCTGTGCAAGCATTTGTTGATGTAATTGTTGTGGTGTCAGCCTTGGTACTGAAACTGCTTGAACCGTCTGATAACTGTTGTTCTCCGAATGAAGAAAACTCCCCAGTCTCGGTAGCGTAAATCCCTTTAGTTTCTTCTTTTGTTTCTGTACCTTCCTTAGCCCCTATCATAAAAAAAACATATATGTCAAATTTATTCAATTAATGTTAATACAAGTTAATTATATATATATATTATAAAACCAAAAAAAAAATTCTAGCTAAATTTGAAAATAGTACTTATGTTCCAGGCCTGAATTTAACATCAAATAATTAAAAAATATATGCCTAAAAAGCATTCAATCAGCAAACTAATTAAATTATACATATTTAGGAGTAATAAACTTGAATACAAAATTATTTTGGACTAAAACATATACAAAGTAAAAATTTAAAATATCACTGATAGATACTGATAGTGTCTAGTACATGACATAATCGAATTAATATTAATTTAAAGGGTTGGCAATTCGCATTCCGAAAAAAAAAAAATTTGTTATTTAGAAGTAGTCAAAATAATCGCCTAGGCTTTTCTTTCTAGTGGTACCTCAACAAATTTCATTCATGAATACCACCGAGATACATGTTAATAAAGTTCAGTTTTTTAAAAATGACATCGCAAATGTAGTAACATATGTGCATTAAGAATTCCATGCATTTCCTTTGGTACATCGAGAAAGTGCTTTTAGCATATTTTTTCTTACGTTTTCCTGATCGATATAATATATGTATAGGAATATAACAAACTATTTTAAAAAATGATTGTGATATTATATCAAATGATACTTTACAACGCTTATCACTAATCAATTCACTTTAAATTGATTAATTCTTTATGCTTTACTGCTTGTTATGTTGCTATTTTATTAAATTTTGGATTAAATAGAACTAATTCGAAAGTAACATACTAAAAATATGCTCTTTTCCGAAATGATTGTCAATAAGATTCAATAGCATATCTGAAAATCAATATCTGGGAAATCCAAATCCCAAAAACAATTCAAAAAGTTAAAAATGTTTGCATACACGATTGGTAAAAATACATAATTGAGCGGGCGAAAGAATAATGTGCATATCAAGCGTATAATCTTTAAAAAGTTCATTCATTATTTAGGTTATTGTGATGATGGTAAGGATTTGGCCATGGTATTATTGTATAAAATTTATATGTTTTAAAACCGTTTCAAAGCTTTAATAAAGCCAGAGACGCTGTTAAAAAAGAGATGTTGCAGAGTCTCAGATCCTCTACAAAGTACCTAACATACATGTCATTGAAGCGAATATTCAATCACTTGACATGATTTCCTTGCCGATAATCATTCGCAAATTCTCTATAATATTAAGATCTATCGAGTACCCAAAAAAAAACCGTTAAATTTTTTCATATTAAAAAAATATCAACTTGCATACAAATATCTTAGAATCCGATTTAAACCCAAATATGGGTTCAAATCCTTTCATTTTTCATTTCTAGAATTGTTTAGATGCTTGTATCCCACATGAGTAAATAAAACAAAAAAAAATGTAAATCTACAATCGAACAGGCATATTATAGAAATACTAGCTCAAGACTAGCAAATTATAAATTTTTTACAAAAATATCATACACTACAAAACATTTACCAAATCAACTTAAATTATGAAACCAAACTATGAAACTATGAAACTATGAAACGAATCAAATCAAAGATTTATATTTTATCTGATAAACGTAACTTACTACATTCCGAAAAATGGTTGTTAGTTATAAGGTTAGATCCACATGGAATATCAGATACGACTTTGTTGTAAGTAGGGGGGAAGATGAGGTTGTTGTTGTTGTAGAATTGCAGTTGTGGTTGTAGTTGTTGTTTCACAATGATCATTGGTGATAACATTAATGGGTGATATAATATGATGATTATTAAGTAATGCATTTTTGGCAGTTGGATTTGGAGGGAGTTTAAAAATTTGACGAACATATGTAGGAATTTTCATCAAAGCACGCGTTTTATGAAATAAAAATTGTAAGCATATTTATCAAGTGATAGCAATTTTTTACAAGTGTTAGAGACATAAAAACAGCATTACATGACATGTTTACATTTGAGTGAATTATAATGATTAGTTCAGTTCGTGCATTTAGAACACACATTAGAATCAATCAAATCAAACAGATTAAAAGTATTTTTGATGCACCATAATATCAATATCATGATTAGTAATGACATAGACGATATCATCGTAATCAATTATTTGATGTTTGTTGGGAACGAGTTTTTCAACATAGTGCATAGAGGCAAAGGGGAAAAATACGTGGAGGAATTAACCATTAGGCCAAGATGGTTTATATCCAATAATAAAGTGTACCTAAGTGATGTTGAATATAATTCACCATCAAATACAAATTAAATAAAAATTTACAAATAAAAAAAAATAAATAAATAAAACTCAATTTAACATTCTCTAATTAAAGCATTTATAACAAAATTAAATATTTTTTCGGCCAATAGCTCATAATTTTGGTGAACGAAAAAAACCCGTATTATAAGAAAGTTATTAGGAAAGGCAAATTTTTTTAATCAGACAATATATGTCATAAATATTTTATGTTAATATTTATTTTAAATAAATATTATTTATTGTTCACAATTTAATCAACTTTTTAAAAATAACTAAAGATCTGTATTTGTAAAGAAATGCAGGATTAAACTAGTAAAAAAGATATTTTATTTTATAATTTTAACTTAATATATTTCTAATAATTTATTTCAACTTTACGATAATTTATTTCTAATTCTTTATTTGAATCTTTCTTTCTAATAATTCGTTAACTGGTTTTTAATTAGATGTATATATATATATATATGCATTATAAAAAGTTCAAGAACGACTGAATATATTCGCAATTTTGCAATAAGAAAGATAACTAGTTTGTGGTAATAGTTAGTAAATAAAAGAGGTAGTCGTTAAAAGGAAGATAAAGGAATTCATATGAATTTATATATGTGATGATAGTTAAAGAGCATAAATATTACACGCCAATTAATATTGTAAATAGTAATGAAATAGTCAATTTTTATTAAAACTTTATCAAATTTCAAATTCTCAATTAAGTTGTGGACCTTTACATTTAACTTAACATATATTAAGAAAGTAATTTTGACAGACGTCTAAACGCATTTCATATTTTTTCAAGAAAAATATGTTAATTGCTTGCGAAAGTCAGGGTACCGCCGCTGTACCGCATAGTTAATATACAAATACATATAAAAAGTTAATTCTAGTAAGGTAGACAAATATTGTATTACTTTTGAATTAAAAAAATATAAATCCTTTTAAATAAAGAAAATATGATCTCGATAATATGGATATCTTGGAAATCCGAACAACTCTTGGAACGTAATTGTTCGAATTATGGAGGGAAAACTGTGTGTGCACTCACTCATGCATTTATATATAACTTTATATATTGTAAACAATTTTATTTTAATTAATTAATTTAATTTTTAATTAAACGTTTGTTTAATATTTTATAATACATTCTATATTTCGACTCTCCCTGAGAGTCATCATCAGGATTACGATCAGATAAATTTTGGTAGCGTGTGTGGATCAAATATCTTATTTGCAAATAATTTACCTATAGCAAAATTATAGTGGTTTGTAAGCACAAACTAAGAAATTATAAGAACTTGAACAATTCGGTTCCGTATAAGTGACAAAAAGTAACAAAAAACTTGTGGAAGATGTTCGTTAAGTGTATCGGATCTTTAGCGAAAGGATTTTTTTTCTAGCTTCAAAAGTCAGACAAAAAAAAATAAAATACTTAATGACATATTTTTAACTGACTGTAAATATCTTTTTCTATTATATTCTGTTAAAAACTAAAAACGAAACTAAAAATCAGCTAAATTGGAAGCGTTAAGCGTTCAAATTTGTGCAATTAAATACAACAAAATAAAATTGAACCGAAAAAATAAAATTGTTTTTAAATTCAACACACAATGTTCGTTTTATAGCGCAAAATTTATTAATAAAATGTTTGCAGTTCATTTTGGCAAAAGTTATTTTGAAGTGTTGGAAAAAATAATATTTAAAAAAATATTTAAACTAATAATTGAACAATATTTTCTTACCTTCTAGTGGATTTACTAAACCGGAAGTATGCCAATCAAATTCGACCGTAGGTATGTCAGTGCTTTTCGAACTCTGAGATTGTGATCTGTCCTTGCTGTGTTGCAGTTCATGTGTTAAAGTTGATGATAGCGATTTAGTAGGCTGCAGAGGATCATAACTTAAATTAGCCGCAAAACGTGGCATTGATGAGTTCCACTTTTCACCAAAAAGCTTTTTCAAAATATACATTATTATCATTAGTACAATTTATTTAAATATAAAATAAAATAAACAACTTACAATATTTCTGCAATCAATACCAAGTGACTTAATCAACGCATCTCTCATTTGTGAATTCACCCACTGGTATTCCAGTGCTTTTGCTGAGTCAATAGAGTGCAATTGCGGGTTAATGTTGAAATCTTTTCTTGTAACATTATAATCTAAACATTTTTCCACTGATTTTGGAAACATTATTTCTAATACATGATTTAAACGCTCGTTTACGTTATCTAAATTTAGATTTAATTTTTTTTCAGCAGTTTGTTTTATATTCGTTTCTAGATTATTACTCGGTACCTGATTAGAGGTTGAATCAGTGAACTCGCCAAAGTCATCATCACTGCCATCCGCATTATCTGCATCATCTGCGGTTATAGTTGAAAATCCGTCTTCTAAAACTGAGCTTTTATTTTTAGCAAAGGTTTTTTGAGTTGTTGAATTTGGAGAGTTTATTTTTGAGTTCGTGATTGATGGTTGGCTATAAAATTGGTCAAAATCTGCTTTAAATGTAATATCGTTAGATATTGGTGTAAAAGGGATATTATCATAAGTGGCATCTTGAACATTTGAGTCCGCTTTATCAAAACATGCAAAATCATTACAATCATCATTTTCAATACTTTCTACAAATTCTATATCATCTATTTGTTCTTCCATTATTTTTTTATTTTGTACAATATTTTCTTTGTTCAAAACACTTTCATTTAGAGGAATATTTGCATTGTGTTGAAAATATTGGTTTTGCAAAGTGTTTTCATCTGCACTAGTCTTCTTGGTGTTTTCTAAAGCATGTATCTTGAAAAAGTCTTCTGAGTTTTCATCAATGTTGAAAATTTTTCTCTTTAGATTAATATTTTCATCATCACTGCTATCATCCAAGATATCTTCTAAAATTACATTGTTTTTTGTACAAATAACCAAAGAACTATTATCCATGTTTGTAATTTTTTCTTTTTCTATTAAGTTATCATCGATAACACTACAAGGCTCTTTGGTTATATCTTGATCTAAGCTTACATCAGCGTTTCTAGCGACTATACCAATACTGTCTTCAATGATATTATTGACTTCTACTGCAGCATTCTTATTTGTTACAAGTAATTCATCAGTAGTAATTTTCTGAGTACTGATTTCATTTTGCATAATTTCGTATTCATCGAAACACTCATCGCTATTGGTTTTATTCGCAATATCGTTACTATTGTCGATGGGAAGTTCCACCTTTGTGAAAGACTCATTTAAGTCTTTATCATGCATAACTGTTTTTCATAGATTATAGTTAATAATAATTTTTGTACATAATTTTGTTTCTTACGCTTACCAATTTTGAATGGATCGCAGTAGTCATAGTTTGTCACATTTGGATATTTTGCTTCAATTACATTTAAATTTTCTTGATGTAGGGGAGTTACTGGCAGC